CTCAAGCTGATGAAAATGAACGCTGAAGTATAGAGAAGTATTGGGGGTCACCACAAGTTATCAGGGTGTTCCTAACATTGAAAGCGGCAACAAATAATTAAAATTTATGTTAGAAAGTCTTCTTAAATAGTTGAAAAGGCTTAAGAAAATTCCATTAAATGCTTGGAATTGCTTCATTTGTTTATAGTCTGCCACTTAGTATGGTTTTCTCAACTCATTGCCTTCTACCTTCTCACTGCAGCTGTTTTAGGTAAAACTCTTATAATTCGCAACTAGTTCTAGATATTCTTAAATTTATTTAAGGACATTTAGAAGACAGGGAATCTGAATAAGAATAAGTTAAATTGATTTTGAAAAGTATGGCATATGCTTTATTTGCACTTCTATGGCTTCCTTAATTTAAAAAACCACATAATTTTAATCACTAATTAAGAAATAATATTAATAATATTTACATATCGTGTGGACGTTAAGTTGATAATAATTTAAGTGTCTAGCTGGAGGCTGGGGGCTGCGGGCTGGAAGTCAAATCGAAAAACTTTGTGGAATCCTCTCTCGTGCCTCATTCTATAGTCAGTCAGGCAGTCAAACAAGCAAACAAACAAACAAACAAACAGATAGACAGATGGACAGATGGACAAGGAAATGGAATGAAGGAGGATTTGCAGACATGTAACAAGTTCTGGCATTGGAGAGTCAAATACGAGGAGCACGTGCCCGGGCGTGTGCATGTGAGCAAAGGACGATAATGATGATGGAGATGATGGAGATGATGGAGATGATGATGTTTACAATTGGCAATGGCAATAGCAATGGCTGCTTGTAATTCCCAATCTATGAATAACAAATAGGCCGGTGCCAAACGTCAGGCACCAAGCCCCCGAACTAACTAACGAAATGAGTAGGCTGTTTGTTTGTTTCCCAGTTTTGGAGGAGGGGAGTGGGAGTGGGACTGGGACTGGGAGAAGGACGTGTTGTTACTGCTCAGAAATCAAATCATAATACTCGCATGAATTTTTTTTAGAAAAACCCCAACAACAAAGACTCCGCGGACTGGCATAAAAGGAGAAGCAGAATCTGACTCCGAGCCTGGCTGCCAACGAACAAATGCAATTTTAGAATGTTACATGAAACGAGAAAATGCCAACGTTTTCATGTGGGTGGGGGGAGGGGGGGCTTGGCAACGGAAATGGCGTCGTGTCGTCTACGCTTCACAGTGCCTGTGTGTGTATGTGTGTGTGTGAGAGAGTGAGAGAGAGAGAGGGAGAGAGAGAGACGGCATGCATTATGATAGGACTTACGCTTTGACGCCTTTTGATTTGATTGTCCATGACATGAGCGTCGACGTCGAAGGTGGCTGCTGAGCGTGAGGATGGGGGTGGGGTGGGGGTGGGGGTGCGTGAGTGGGCAGCCGGGTTGTGGCGTTGCATGTGCGCCATTTGTAATTCAAGTCAAAAGGCAACAACGCGACGTTGTTGTTGTTGTTGTTGTCGCCGTTGGAGCATAAGCGTCGACGGATTATAATTTCTTTTCCGTTTCAATGCATTTCATTTCCGTACCAACGCACGAGCAAGCAAAAGCAAACACACACACGTCCAACACCCTCTTCCCACACACACACACACACACACACACACACACACACACACACACACACACACACACACACACACACACACACACACACACACACACACACACACACACACACACACACACACACACACACACACACACACACACACACACACACACACACACACACACACACACACACACACACACACACACACACACACACACCCACACAAACAAGCATAAAGAGCCCTGCAAACATTTGCTTGGCGACTCAACATAAATCTCTAACAACTCGGTGCCGTATCTCTGACGAGACATTGACAAGTCAGTAACGAGTCCCTCAGAAGTCTTGTCAGGAAACGAGTCTTTAATGAAACGGCAACGAGTTACAACTGAACGGGAAAAGAGTGTCGCACAAGCAGCGAACGAGAAGAAGCGTTCGACTTAGGAACGAGTCACAAATGAGTCGGAGATGAGTTCCAAGCTGACAAGCTGCGAACGAGATGACTCCATGACGAGTAGGGAAGCAGCGAACGACTCTACAACGATTTGGATTGAAATATATATGATGAGTAAAAGGACTGGGAACTCTTTCTTGGCGACTCAACATAAAACTCTAACGACTCGGTGCCGTATCTCTGACGAGACATTGACAAGTCAGTAACGAGTCCCTCAGAAGTCTTGTCAGGAAACGAGTCTTTAATGAAACGGCAACGAGTTACAACTGAACGGGAAAAGAGTGTCGCACAAGCAGCGAACGAGAAGAAGCGTTCGACTTAGGAACGAGTCACAAATGAGTCGGAGATGAGTTCAAAGCTGACAAGCTGCGAACGAGATGACTCCATGACGAGTAGGGAAGCAACGAGTCCCTCAATCAGGAAACGAGTCTTTAATGAAACGGCAACGAGTTACAACTGAACGGGAAATGAGTCTCTAACAAGGATATGGGTAAAAATTTTTAACGAGTGGGTGCCGAATCGGCAACTAAAGGACAATTGTTGGTTGAGACATTCACGAATCTCGAATAACTCATTGAAGAGTTTATACGCTGCATTGGCGAGTCTCTGTTGAGTCAAATGTACGTACAAGTCTGTGATGTCTAGGACTTATACGTAAGAGTGGCTTAAAAGTCTCTGAGAAGATATTGACGAGTCTTTTAAAAAACATCGAGAAGTGAGAAACAAGTCGAAAACGGTTGCGTAACAAGCCACGACAGAGTCCCTGCCCCTGCCTTCGTTGTGAACAATTTTTTTAAGATACATATATTTAAGATTGTTTCAGGGAAGGTTGATCTGTAGAATTGGATGCTTCGACGACTGCCCTTTTAAGAGAATGGAGGGAGCTGCCGGTGAAAATCTTTTGACATGCATAAATTTAGATGAAAATTTCAAATGAAATGCACTGATTCCTTTTTAAACAAATCCTTCTGTTTTTATTCCACACCTCCAATCATCGTGTAGAGAAGAAGTCAGGTAGTTGGCTGAGACTTGGTGTAATAATAGAACTTTTATATGACTTCCCTACCAAAAAATGCATATGCTAACAGACTTAAGGAAGTATCTTCAGTGTATCTTCAGTGATGGAGAAGTTACGAAGTCCCTTGCAGAGGAAAGATTCAATGAGAAAAGGAGCCATCATCCTTGAAATATTTTATTCCAGCAGTGTTTCAAGACAACGATCTAGTGGTTGTCTTCGATGTTGTCTGTTGTCGAGCAGGTTAGCGGCCAGGATGTTCAGAGAGCCTTTTGATAGTCTGATCCGCAAACAGCTGTGCTCTGTTTCCTCGTCCAAGAGGTACTCTGTCTGGTCCTTATGCCAAGTCCACTGACAAGTGCCTTACAACTATCCTAACAGAGAGTTCTTTTCGGCTTTCGCGCGACATCATATGAATGCTTAATATAAGAACTAGATAGTTTTGGTGATAAAAAAGATAAATATATGATATTTCAATTTTTAATTCCCTGCTGGCTGGGGCTCACAAAAGGGATCTCTTTGCGCTGAAAATGAAAAACAATTGAAAATGCTCACAGGGTTTGTTTATTTTTGTTTTCCATTTTTCAGACTCAATTACAATTATCATGCAAAAGTGAATGTCGTTGTCGCCCCCCTTTCCCCTCCCCCCTTCTCTGGCCACCTACCGCTCGCCCTTTACTTGGCCAGACTCGGCATCCCTGCTGCTGAAGTAACGCCTCCTGTAAGCTGATTATATAACGTGAAGAAATTAAAATGCATATATTTGAGAGCAGACACACGTTTGCTTTTATTTCCAATTTCAAATGTTAATCCGATATGTAAAGAAAAGTATACATATATACGAGTACATACATATAAGAACATATGTAAGTATGAGCTTGGTGTGTGACTTGGCAGAGGAGTTGGCGCGAATTGTTGCATACTTTGAGGCGCCAGAAAGCGGCAAACTACTTTTTAAAACACTATACCAACCAAATACTTGTATGCTTTAGGCAGCCAGCAGAGGAACTATATTCGATGCTATTATTTATAGCTGCGAGAAATCCGACAAAGGCATGCCCCACAACTACTAAATGGGCCTTTAAGGAAGCACTTTAGTTTCCATCCGGCGAATTAGTCGTACGAGTATCTGAGGCTTGATTGCGAAATGCTTAGATAAGTGGTCGTGGACTTACAATATCAACATCAACATTTGAGTCGAACTGAACGCCTATTCTTATTATCGATTCTAACGAAATTATGTGTCAGACCTATACAATGAAATCTGCTGTTCCCGTGAATTAGGAGATGTCCGAAAAGTTTAACGCATTTGACTTCAAACACCTTTGAAATGCATAAAAAATCACCAATCTACTTAAAGGGAAAACAATAATAACAAAGCAAATAGCAATTAAGAAGGAAGACACTTTAAAAATGTGCTCCAAGGCAGAGCAATTCTCAAGAATTCTGCATGTAGTATAAACTTAATCGTTTTAAATCGAAGTTTCAGAAGTTTCAGTTAAAATAAAACATAACATAAAAGTCTACAATTTGGTCTTAAAATACATAAATAAATAAAAATTGCATATGTGGAATAGCAACGCACATTGTCTCCACATTTCAAATTCAAATTCAAAACTCCAGTGTGCACGAAACTGCACTGCTTGTCAGAAGCAGTGCATATCTGCTTCTTACATACTTGTCATTCAAGAAAATCAAAAAGTTATGTTTATTAGCCAACACTGGATCAACACTAGCTGTCTTTTGAGCGACTGCTTGCTCAGTCTGTTAGATACCAAGCAGGTGGCCGACCTCCAGTCGATAACGTAATTCGCAATTATCGCACCATTCCGATGTGCACACACCTATATCATCGATAGACTTCAAGAAACGACAACAAGATCACGGATTGCAATTGAAATTTAGTGTCATTTACTAATTTAATCATAATTTAAGAATACTCAGAGCGTGCAATAATGCAGACTAGTGCACTCATTTTTGCTGTGATAATTTTTATAAGCGCGAATGCGCCCCAAATAAATGGTAAGTTGCCAGTTCGTATCTTATTGAACTCTTTTGTCTAGCTGCGTGTGGCTGTGTGTGTGCGCGAAGTGGAGCCAACAATTGAAATTTCACTTTCAATAATATTTTCGTTCTCGTTGTTGTTGCTGCTATTGTTGTTGGGCTTTCGCAGCGTTACTGCGTCGCTGCTACCATTGCCGATCACGCGGCGATCTAGGCAGCTGTCGCGATCCCTTTCTCTTCAACGCCACCGACGTGGAACGCGAGCCTGGAGTAGCGGCCGTGCCCTGCGCCAGCGGCTGGTGCGGCAAGGTGATCGAAGGCGGTGGCACCTATGCCGTCGACGGTGAGTAACTCGCCTTAAAACTAAATTACGTTTTCACGTCACCTCCATCTGACAGACTACGATTTGGCCATTCAGCGCATGTGCGTCCAGCGGGGGCCCGACGATAATATGGATCGTTGTGCGGACACCGTCTTCAATTACAAAAAAGTCCATATGTGCTTTTGTCAGGGAGATCTGTGCAATGGCAGCGACTCAATTATGGGTGCGAAACAGCTTCCCCTACTCCTATTCTCTACGTTGGTTGCAATGCGCCTGAGCGCGCTTTTTTAGCTGAAAATGCAATCCTTCATTTACTGCTGCCCATTTGCTGAGACTGCGCCCAACTGCCTGATGTATACTTTTTTTTTTTATCTCACCCTAATTAGAAATGTTTAAAACAAAGATTTTTAAATAGCAACAATTTATACAAGTATTTTGATTGATTTTGGTTGTGTGGGTTCATTGATTGTCAAAACGCGAAGATGTCTCAATTTCTGGTAAGTCCGGTAAAATAAGAAGGGTGATTCATGTTTGCAATAAAAAAAGAGAAAAGCTGTACACCTTGGGTGTGCTTGTGGATCAGATTTCGTACGTTTTTGCGGCTAGAAGTCTAAGCCTAGGGTATTACTATAGGGCTAGCCTTGTGCATACGCGAAATCGGGGTGACTATAAGGACGTTGGAAGGGAAGGGGGGAGGGGCCGTTGCCCCTAGGAAAAATTTTGCCATATAAAGTCGACCACACGTTCATTATTATGACGCATTATTTCGCCTTAAAATGGATCTGAGTTGGATTTGTTGAAGTTTTTTCATTGATCATATGCATTAGTTATTTTTTAAGTGCATCGTTCATTATTTAATCGAAATTTTAATTTTTTGGGCCCCCCCTTTGGTAAAACCTGCCTACGCTCTAGTATATGTGTATAGTGTTTGGTATCGATTCTATAAGTGTACTAAAAAGTTATGTTGCCTAAACTTTGTGGCTTAAAGTATCTTCTAAGCACAAATAGAAAAACGTACCGTAACGTTTCAGACTATCTAATATCTTGCTCAAAATCAACATGTTTCTTCACTACAAAGAAGACCGGAAAGGCATTGCTCGAGGTGGCAACGCCGCGTCCAATATTGTTGTTAGATTTAAATAAAATAAAAAGATAAATTGATTAAAATGCCAAAAGGAAGCTACAAATCGAATTGCGTGAATATTCTTGCATAATTCTGCATAACATACATACGTCTGTTAGCCACAATTAATTCAACAATTCAATTCATTTTTCATGCAGAAATGCGGACACTTGGTTTATTTACTTTGTATTAATTCTGAGAACACTCCATACCCTACACAACGACGCAAGTAACATACATTTCCCTGTAATTGGTAATTGCAGTGCTATATTTTATTTTCAAATTTCGCGCACAGCACACAGTCTAGAGCAGTCGACTCTGACAGGTTGCCGTTAACCAGGGCTGACACAAACAAAATATGCATTACTTTGCCAGGGCGCCATGCATTCAACTGTTTCCGGCTGCAAAGAAAATCTGTAACAAATAAATACGAACATTAAATTTAGCGCTGAAACAATTGAAACAATCTCCTTAACCCATTTTGAGCCTATGTTTCATTTCTTAGGAAAATGAATGTCGTTTTTCCCCTCGAACGATTATTTGCTGAAAATGCCACTTTGTTTATTTTCATTTTCCCCTTGTAACCCATATTATACATTGCAACACAAGTGATACGCCTTCGCCGTAATTGATGATTGCAGCGCTATCCAGGGCCAGGCCGACAACAAAGAAAAGATAAAATTCCTTACCAGGGAGCCATACATTCAATTGTTAGCGGCTGCAGATCAATTTTTTACAAACACAACAAATACAAATTATCTTTAATGCTATAACACTAGCTTTTTGTTTATAGAATAGGGCACATGTACATACATACATATGTATGTATGTATGTCATAAATATATGTATGTAGTTTACGCATGTTGCGTCTACTTTCTAAGAAATCAAATGCCGTTGTTTTTCACAAACGGCTCCTCTGCTGGCAATGGAGATGTGGAGAAATTGAATACGAATTGATTTATTCTTTTCAACTTCCTTGCAAGCGTATATAGAATACGTACATATATATGTACATATACATATATATATGCACATATACATACATATATGTATATGCATGTATATACATACATATGTATAACCGTAGGATAAATCTCTAAGCAATTCAATATTCGATTCTTCTTGGTTGTTGTAGACATTTAATACTAAGTACATATGTAGATACATATGTACATATGTATGTATGTACATCCGTAAACTTTTCAAAATAAGTACAAACATATATACATATGTATGTATGTATGTAAGTGTCTATGTGATGTGTGTGTGTGTACGCACGTGCCTCGACAGTAGATACTCAATAAAACAAATGGTCGATATTGAAGCAACGAGGAAAATTTAAACATTATTATAATAATAATTATTATTTTCCCACCTGATTGCATATACAATTAAATCATATATTCCAGTAAATTAATAGGTGTTCTAAAAACTACTACAAAATAAATACATTTTTTTCTGCCAAACAATTTATCTTTTTCGATCGAAAAATTAATTCAGGATTCGTATAACCATACTGTACATACATATGTATGTATGTACATACAATACATTGGCATTTCGAATGCTGTGCACTCTTTTGCCAGTTATAGCTGATTTTGGAAAACATAAAAAATCGAAATCTAGTACAACTTTATCCATCCGTCTTCCCCCCTTCGAGCTTGGAATGGTCTTATGTATGTATATCTTAATAAAAACGGAGCAAAACTTGTTTCTACTGGGATATAGCTGTAATTCCCATTTATAACAGTTGCCATAATCCAATATTAATCCGCTCACAGCAAACCAAATAAATAATAAATAGATTATTTTCTAGTTTTTATCTGTTTTTTATTTTATCATTTAAGAACTCTCACATTGCATGACTTCGCGACTTCAAGTCGGGTGCACATGGGCAGCGATTTTAACGACGTATATAATGTATGCATATACTATATATCTAGATTTTGTTTAAAATGTTTAACGAATACACAAAGCGGTCAGAAAAAATAAAATGTATTGAAAAAAAAACTACATAAATTTAAATGAGTGTATAGTTGTTCAATTTAGTACAAACAGCTGAACTAGATCTCTAGTTCGAATTAAATTCTACCAATTTTTCAGATAACGGCTAGTACTGGAAACGAAAACAAAGCAGAAAGATTCCAAAAGTGGATGGGGAGTCCGAGACACATACATAGTTTAAAAGTTAGCGCCTGTCGTTGATGCGCTAATGAAACCGGAACTTTAATCTTATCTATCCCTAATGACCCAGTACAGGGGTGTGTATACCTGCTGGTCCGTGTATAAGCAGAGGGGGACAGAGAAGGATATATTGTGTAGTGAGTCCGGTTGACAAAGGGCCGCTGCTATTAATAGCTAGAGATGTGGATTATTGGATGGATGGATGGATGAATGTGTGTGTAGGTGTAGGTGTATAGTATGTGTCTGTGTCTGTGCACGACTTCTGGCGCAAGATTTTAAAACAAAGAGCCGCATGACTTGGTTGATTGCTATGCTGACGAGGCGGGGAAGAGGGTGATGGAAACTTTCTGAACGTGAGCGTCACATTAGCGCCTCAGAGACGACAGCTATGCCGACCTCTCGTGCTCAAAGCGCCGGCTTGCTGGGACGCGCCTTGCTGCTCAGATCGCGCAAGCATCTGGAGCACTTGGTCAGCGATAGTGGACGCACGCCCTTGCTGGTGGCACCTCCTCCGACGACATCATCATCGCAGTTAACGTAGCTCAAGACCTGGCAGCTCTCGCAAAGCAGCACGTTATCTAGAAACGAAAAAGATAAGAAATGGCAGATAAGCATATAGAAGTCTATATATACAACTAACACTTTCGATGTTTTCCCCCCATTTTGTGATAATTTCTGTTTTTTCAATACCCCGTTTCAGTGTTTAGTCATTTCCTATCATTCTAAACCTAAAACGAAAAATAAAACCGTAATTCTGTTCTAAAAATGTGTATGGTATATTTATATATTTGTCCAAAATATGCACATTTTTGATTCGATTGGAATAAAGAGATTTACATAGAAGTATTATTCAATTTAAGCGCGATAGGTGTTTTTATTTATTTTTTTTGTTATAGTTGCAATGCAACTAACGAAACCTTAGATTGGTACCCTCGCTTGAGGGAAATATGTACATATGTATATAGGTTTTCGAGTTGAGCGTGAAAATATTTCCAAATAGATATCGAGAAACTTTAATCGAAATCGAAGACCGGAAAAGGTGTGATATTTAATGCTTTCAACTCTCTCACACATCATCAATGGATGTTTTAAAATAATAGGCTGTTAGATAACATTTCCCTTCTCGAGGAAATAGCTTTAAATCGAAATCAGGTATCGAAGAATCAGGTACATTTTATCAATTGCTGTTCCCAGAAATGACTTTAATATAGTTTTGGTTCACTTTATCAATTTTTCATCATATTAATCATGCCACACATCTCACATTATCCAGACTATTTATATACATTTATGGACGTATTTTGTATGATGAATAGGGGTTTGTTAGAGCGAACGTTTACTGTTGTTAGGGCTGCCAACTCACCTGGACGTTTCTTGCAATCTTTGTACTTGGGCTTCACATCCGTGGTTATCACAGCCTTGACATTGTTGGCACGGTCGCTGGAGAGCGACACCTCCGTAGTGTCCACCTTATCGGGACTTTGACTCTTGCTTTTGCGGCCGGAACCGTTGCCGCTGCCGGCGGGTTTGCTCGCCTTCTTGGCTTGCAAACGTTTTTCTTTGGGCGAGAGCAGAAACTCGGGCTTGGCCTGTTTCTGTTTCTTAAGGCGTGCCACATCCAGACTGGGCATCTGCTGGCCGTAATGAAAGACGATGCCGCTAGCATTCTGTACTGTACGACGCTTACGCTTGGAGTGCCGCTGACTCAGCTTCTTCAGCACTTCGGGTGTGTAAAGCTCGAAAAGGCGGAGGAACAACTCCTGACCATACTCCTCTGGCTTTACGCGCGTCTCGCGCGGCTCATCGTCCCAAAAGGCGCTGAGACGCTGCTGTTCATAGAGCTCGTGATTGGAATCATCAGAGGATGTGCAGGCTGGCGACGACGAAGTCGATCCTAAATGGGTGGGCGAATAGGTTTGTGGAGGCGGCGAGCCAGCACCTTCCGGTTTGCGAATCTTGCGCGTCTTATGCTGTTTGGGTTGGCCTCCAGTTGCCGCTCCAAGAACAGAAATAGCTGCTGCATTTGGTTTGCGGCCGACCTCAACTTGAACTTTGCTGGCTTTCGGAATGGGCTGCTTGACTTCTGGTTTGGGGGGACTGGGCACATGCTCGTTCAGCTTGATTTTGCGCGTACCCTCGGCGTTGGTCACCTCCAGGGAGGGTTCGTCGTCGATGAGACGCGGCTGCTGTTTGGTTTTGCGTGCACGCTTCAATGCCTGCCGCAAATTCATGCGACTCTGCTCGACGCCATCGTAGGCGGGCGGAGAGGCCGGCGCCCCCGTCGAGGTTGATGCCACCACAGCGTTGGTGGATGTGGTCACATCTTGTGCCTGCGTGTTCGAAATGGGCGCCAAAGGTGGCGGCGACCTGGTCAAGCGTCTAGTATACTGATATTCTACTTTCGGCTCCAGCAACTGAGCTGCATCGTCACCGCCGCCGCTGCAGCTAAAGCCACCCACAGCACCCATACCGCTTACTGTGGAGCGTGGTATGAGCAGCGAGCGTTGCTCCTTGGCCGCTTTCACCGCGGCGCGTTGTGCCTTAAGCACCTTGTCAGGCACGATCATGACGGCCACCTCGCTAGTTAAGCCTGGACCACATATGTTGCCTCCACTGGAATGCGGCTTGGGGTGGGCACTTATTGTCACCTCTCCCAGCTTCTTCAAGATGCTTAGCTGTTCCGCTTCGCTCTGAGAGGCGCTGTCGAAGAGGTCGTTAATGTCGGTTCCACGGACATTGACATTGGCTGCAGCACCAGGATCGGCAAGGGCATCAACGCCGACGCCACCAGCGGCTCCAACATCCACCTTATCGGCATCATCCATCATGATCAGTGGTATGTCCTCATCGAGTTCGCTGAGCTTGAGCGGCGGACGCGACACGCCGTCCTCCTCATCCTGCGAGAGCAGGAAATGCTTGCGTATGAGCATCTGTTCATTGTCGCGCTCCACAACGTTTTGTGGATAAATTTTGTAGCTGGCATCGCCAATTAAAGGCACTAGGAGGCCCGAGATATACTCGTTGGCCAGTTCAGGTACACTTTCTATGCCATTGTCCTGCAGCTTCTTATAAAATAGCTGCAGGTCGTCCTTCAGGTGCAGCATCAGGAACTGATTCTCGGCATTGATTTCGTACACCTCCTCCTCCAGTTCATTCAATATGCGCTGCATCTGCACAGGATCCTGTGGCAATTAAAAAAAAACATGGATAAAACCCAGCATATATGAGTCCTCTGCGGTCAAGTGAAAGTCAGAGGGAGGGGGATAAAAGCAACAACATAACGACAACAACAATGTATCACCATCAAGCACGTGCGGCTCGCAACTTTCGCCTCACCCCTTCATTAATATGGTGATATGAGTTTCCGTTCTACCTTTCAGCGCTTACGCAAGCACTCAGAACCCATCACCGCCCCGCCCCGCCCCTCCCGCAAGCTATGCTAAAAGTTCTTGTCTTGCGCTTGTAAAATTTTTTTTTTAATAATGTAAGTATGTACATACATATGTATGTATGTACATTTATTGAGTCTGGAGGCAGCCTAAGAGTTGCCACCTGAAAAGCACATGACGAGGTAACAAAACAGCAGCAAACGTAAGATTAATAAAACCTGTAACGCTACACAAGAAACAAAAAGAAAACTGAAAATATCTGCTATCAATAAAAGTTGCGGCAGTCCCAATTAAATTGACAAAAGGGAGGGTGGGGGGTCTGACAACTCTGTACCGGGGCAGCCGTTGCAGGCTGGAAGGCCTACGTGTGAGCGGGCGAGTGAAGCGTTGGGGCAAACAAACAAAGAAAAAAATAAAATGCGTTGCATTAGGTACATCAGAAGAAGGAACGAGCGGGCTCCTTTGTCAGAATGTCCAGCTCTATTGGCAGAGGGGGTAGGGTAGAGCGGGGCAGGGGGTAGTGTTGGTCATAAAGACGTTACTTACCGCATCGGCCTGCTCCTTGAAGACATCGGATACCAGCTGCAAAGAGAAGAGAAAACACACACACACGCACACATACATACACGTTAGTTTCAGGTTGCTTGTATTGTCCATCGTTATTTTAGTTTTAATTTCGCACTAATTTCGATTTCTCACTCACCGCATGTACTTTAAGAAAGTCCCTCATTGCACGCTGGCAGTAGATAATGTCATTCTTCAGATCCGATGGCATGGTATAGCACTTTTCCATGTATTTCAGGAATATGGATGAGGAGTCCATTTCCAGTTCGCTCTTATTCTTGCTGTTGTTGTTGCTGCTGGTGCTGGTACTGGCACTGGTGCTGCTCATCATCTTGGGCGCGTAGTTGCAAAATACGGAAAAACAACGACGACGACTACGATGACGCGAACGCACAGAATTAACTCACGGACAAGACTAGAACTATGTATATTAACGACCACGACGACAATGATGATGATTCTACAACAAGTCTCAAAAATTCAAACAGAGTCTCAGAATCTGAATCTCAACATTAACGCCTTCAACCAGAATTCTGTCTGTCGTCTTGTTCCTCAACGCTGTATTTGTATGTGCACCTTGCGTTTCAAACTGAATTATTTTTTTTGTCTTTTGCTAAATCTATCCAACGTTGTTTGCTGCCGCTGTGACGTCTAGGCGCTATTGGCTGGCTATACCGTATCACTTACTATGTATATATTGAAGACGGTGTTATACTACGGTCTACGGCCCAAATTTCAAAATGCGCGACTATTCGGCCCAACAACAGCAACAGCCACAGCCGCGACGACAGAGCAACAGTCGCAGTTTTTTTTTACACTTTTGTTGTAGGATTGAATTGTGCATTGGTCGCGCCAACGATCTGGCAGCTCCAGTAGTTTTTGGTATTTTAGATGTTTGATTGCGGTATTTTGAAGGGCTATCACCCGTCCAGACAAAAATGCTTATTAAATATGCGCTGTTTGAGCTGCAGGTATAGCTCAATCATAGAACTAACTAATCCAACATGTGCAATGTTAATTAGATTATTTTAATCTATGCATTGGAAGATGAACATTCCATAACATCCGTTTAAACATATCGATACTACACGGTCGATATCATTTGTCGATATGTTCCGACTGGCCATATTACCAGCACAAGAAAAAAGCCGCAAAATTAGACTGACCCTCCGTCAAGTGTAGCACACAACTACCATCCCAACCAACAAAAACAATAGTAATACTATATACGCTACAGTTGCGGTCTCCCGTGTTCTAACAAAAACAGCCAACTTCACTGGACCATTGTGCAAACGGCAAAAACAGCTCGGTACGTGCGCACACACAACGAACGCGGCAACAATAAACCAACATAAATAGCAAGGAAGTGAGAGGCCATCAAAACAACGACCCCAACTATGTGTAAGTAGTTTAATTATTCTTGTTGTTGTTGGAGTGGAGTCCGAATAAGCCGCGGGCAGCGTCAATGAAACTGCATTAAAATGGAAAAAGATTGTGTGTGGGTAATAAGCATTTGCAAAGATATATCCATTGTTTCACGTTAGCTGCTTGAAATTAGAACTCAGAGCCCTAGCCCTTTTGTATTTCTTGTTGCTGTTAATGTCGCCGCCAAGGCGCCTCGTAAAAAGCAAAACGCATGCCAACCAACAGTAGTTTCGCATCATCATTATTATCATGTGCGGGTGTGTGCAAATGATGCCTTATATATAAGTATGTATCTATACATATGTACATATATAAATATGTATGTATGTGTATATGTATGTAATAAAGTGCGAGCGAGACAATCACAATTTGCTGACGCCCCAAAACAGAGGTAGAAACAACAACAACAACAGGAACAACAAATATGCCGCAGCGTAACGAAAGTAAAATTTCACCCAAATTTGTTTGTTTTTGCTGCTTGTCCTACACACATGCATATGTACATCTGTACATACAAACATACATATATTTCTGCATCTGTGTATCTGCCGTATAAAAAACAAAAAGTTGCAAAACTAGTTTCGGTTTCGCTTAACCCTTTTGTTGTCCGTTTTGTCCGTTATGGTTTGTTTATATTAAACGCGGTTAAGCGACGCGCCGGCATATACGAAAGTTTAAAACGGGATTTTTTGTGTCGAATTTCTACGCATGCGTGTGTGTGTGTGTGTGTGAGGGAGGAGGGGTTTGTACGAGATGGTGCCGTTAACAGCAGCGGACTGCTTAAACTGGTTTTATTGCACTTTACCAACTCTAACACTAACTTACACACACACATGCAATCCTTTGCTCCATTACTTAAAACATTTCTCTCTCTTTAGATATACATACATATGTATGCACGTGTGTATGTGTTTGTGCACATACATGAGTATGTATGTATGTAATATTTATGTACATATGCATGCTCGTCTGTAGATTCGGTTAGCTTAATTAATGTTTTATGAGGATCTGCTTTTCTTATCAGCAATTGCACAACACACGTAGGCATCATTTCGCTTAAAATTATTGCTAGTTAGCTTTAAGTTTGTTTATTGATGTTACGAGGTGCAAATTTCAAATTGCATACATGTATGAATATTTTTTTAATGGACTACCAACCAGCCAGCCAGCCAACCACCCACCTACATACGCCCACTCACATGTGCATTTTAACGTGATTTGCAAAAAGAATGGAACGACAAATGAGAAGAAAAAACTGAAACGTTAACAAGTCAAGCAACAACAGCACGCATTGGGGGCGACATTTGCAGCGAGCCCGCTAGCGATCGTTTAGCCCCACAAACAAAGACACACACACACACACATACATAAGCGAAAATCTCAAATCATTGCTCAAAGTGCACCACACACCAACACACACACAAGCACACACACGCATATATTTCGTCGCAGCTGTTTTCCCAACACGTAATTAGTTTTGTTTATGTGCAGCTGTTGTGGCGTTGTGTGTGTGTGTGTGTAAACAGTTACTTTTATATTGGATTGTGGGCGTCACCCACTTTGCCAGCGACCGCTGCAATTATAGCTTGCGAGCGAGCTAGAAAATTAACAGAAACTAGGAACATGATTCACCTAATATAGGCTTTAAAAGTTTTCCGATTTTCAAGAATCCTCAACGAAAACCCTACGACCTAAAATATCCGAAGCTATATACATATGTACATACATACATATGTATATAGGATACCTTTCACTGTGCAAGAATCTTTTTTTAGATCATATTTTTAATCTCTTGCCCATTTGGTCATCCATGGTATTTTCGAGAGGCACGGATGGCGCAGCACCAGCAATTGAGCTTCAAAATTAAAAAAAAAAAGTTTCCAAAGGGGAATGCGAATTTATACTCAAAAATTATATTTAACGTTGCAACAAAACACTTGTTGGGAAATTTTAATGTACAGAATATTGTAGAAGCATGCATATAAATAGGAAAGTAGATGGATAGATATGGAACTCGACATTTTCAATAGTTGCACGGATGAATAGCTAGGATATTCGAAATCTAGTATCAACGATTTTTAGGGAAAATATCCAAAATGGATGGCATTTAAGCGGAATTAGGAATGCACTAGACATATTTAGATCCCACTGACAACATTCCCTCAATAATACTATGTGATATCCTTGTGTCATTTACAAATAAAATCCATCCCAGCCATCCAATTGTTTATTCTCCCGTATTGGTTTTCGCACTCTTTTCGATGCACTTTTGCTTTTCTGTTTTTCTTCTTCGTTTGCAGTTTGTGCGGCAAGAAAATGGTTGCGCGTCCGAACAATGAATTACCATCAACAACAACATCAAAAGTATTATCAAGAAATTCTCAAGACTTTCAATAACATTCGTCGTGCCCCAAGCTGCCTCTCGTTTTCCAACAGCACCAACAACAACTCAAATGCGGCTTGTTCCCATCATTTACTTGCAGCTGACAAGAAAAGCAACAGCAGCAGCAACAACAATACGAATGTTGCCAGTGCCATAACGCCGGATCTCCTGAGTAAGTGGAGAGAGAACTTCTACGCGGAGCCGAAGAACGTATTGGCGCAGAATGTTTGCTCCCGTGTTGATCCCTTCGAAGTTTGCCTGTCGCGCAAGGCGCTGGAAACGACCAATCATGTGTTCAACTATAAGGTCGAAACGGAAGGAAAGCCAGTAACCAATCAGCGTAGCTCCGGTCGCTGTTGGCTTTTTGCGGCACTGAATTGCATACGCCTGCCCTTCATGAAGAACTACAATCTCGATGAGTTCGAATTCTCACAAGCCTTCCTCTTCTATTGGGACAAAATCGAGCGTTGCAATTATTTCTTGAATAACATTGTGAAGACGGCGAAGCGCGGCGAGAAGGTGGACGGACGCCTGGTCTCGTTCCTTCTGCTCGACCCCACCTCTGATGGCGGCCAGTGGGACATGCTGGTGAATCTGATAACCAAACACGGTCTGATGCCAAAGAAATGCTTTCCCGAGAGCTTTAGCTGCGAGTCCAGCATACGCATGAACGCCATACTGAAGAGCAAGGTGAGTCGGAAACTCTCCTATTAATATTCTACCCAACATTAATATTCTACCCAACATTAATAACATACTATATCGTACAATTTTTGGATTTCAGTTGCGCGAATACGCATGCGCTTTGCGAGTGCTGATGGAAAATAATCCCAGCGAGGAGGAGATCAACAGTAAGATTCAGGAACAAATGGCAGAGGTCTATAAGGTGGTCGGCATCTGCCTCGGCATACCCGCCGAAACCTTCACCTGGGAATACTACGACAAGTCGAAAAATTATCAGTTCATAGGGCCGGTCACTGCGCTGGAGTTTTACGAGCGCTATGTAAAGCCCCACTTCAATGTGGAGGATAAAGTGTGTCTGGTGACCGATCCCCGTTCCAGCAGTAGCTACGATCAGGCCTACACTGTTGACTGTTTGGGCAATGTTGTCGGTGGACGACCCGTGCTTTACAATAACCAGCCGGTAGATATGCTTCTCGCTATGGTCACTAAATCGCTGAAGGCCGGCGAAGCCGTATGGTTTGGCTGTGAGGTTAGCAAGCGCTTTGCTTCCAAGCAGGGTATCGAGGATACGGACGTGTGAGTAGCAAAATATTATTCGAAAATGTTTGATATTGAACCGTGAGAAATAGATTAATTTTATGAAAATGATTTGTGGAATCGTATTAAATGGAAGTTATTCTTCCTGAGGACATTGAAACAAAATTAGGCTTACATACATATACGAAAATTGAAATCTAAGAGACAATATCTAAAGAGGTCTGACTACTTCTATCTCAAGTTCTTGTTAGCCCTGCTTCCATTTTTCTATATGATTACATTTGTCGAAGAATATTTTGCGAAATTCAATTCAAATCGATTTTAACAAGTTGGTGGAATTCGAAAGTGGTTCCAAATGTCATTCGTGCGTTAAATATTAAATCACTTCAAATATTCAATTAGTCAATTAGTATAATAATAATTCCATTGAAACGCCCATTCATTCTAAATATGAATCGCAGAAAATCGGTTTGCTTGTGCAATTTTTTTATGAAAAACATTACAAATTCTATTCCCATGAACAATGAATATTAATTTAAGTTAAAGTTTTCATAATCATCGCTAAAGTCGTCTTGTCGTCATTGACTTAATTCTTTAAGGAGTCAAATCCTAGCTGCTGCTTATTGTGTATGCATTACTAATTCTGTCTCCTTCTATTTTCCATCTGCGTTCTCGTTCTATGTCGTGTACATATAGCCATGATTTCAAGCTGGTCTTTGACATCGATATACAAACGACCCTCAGCAAGGCCGATCGTTTGGTCTATGGTGAGTCTGCCATGACGCATGCCATGGTCTTCACAGCGGTCTCCGTGGATGTAAGTGATCCCCCGCACCCGCCCCTGACTCTGACATAATTCCGCTTTAAAAATTTGTTTTTAACTTCACAGAAAAACGGAACTGCCGAGAAACTGCGCGTGGAAAACTCGTGGGGTGAGGAGCGCGGCGAGAAGGGCTATTTGGTTATGTGCGCCGACTGGTTTAGAGAGTTCGGCTTTGAGGTCGTTGTGGATAAGAAGTATGTGCCCGAGGAGGTGCTGCGAGTATTTGATATGGATCCCATTGTACTGCCCGCCTGGGATCCTATGGGAACGCTGGCGCAACAGTAAAATGAGAAACGCATGCAAGGCGAATTAAAAAGCTTTATGAGTACCACAACCGGCAGACCGCATACATACATACAATTACACGCATGCATATACAACTATACATACATACAACATATACATATATATATATATATACAAACGAGCCAAGCAATCTAAATTCTTTGTACATTTTTGTGGCAGATTTCACATCAAACTATTTGTATCTACTTTGTTTTGTTTTAAATTAAAAGCGCCAATTATTTGTCAACTAAGCCAAACACCCACCCATACACACACACACACACACACATACACTTATATATATACACAGGCGTCAATTTTTTTGATAATATATACTGTAGCGTAAGTAAAAAGTGGTAATGAGTTGTTTTCACGCATGGTTTTTTTATTGTATATCTTTTATTTCATTGTTTTTTTTGCGCAATTTTGAAAAAATGTCCAATACAAATATAAAATCTATGAATTTATCCAACAACTGCTGAGAAACATTGTTCATAACAAGAACGCAGACGCTGATTTGTGTGTTTTGCCCGAAATAGAAGAAAAAACTGTGAGCCACGGCAAAAGAAATGTAAATGCATTTTATAAATATATACGTATAAATAAATAAATATATTGAATACAAATATTTACCTAAATACAATTTATAAACTTTTTGCTTTTAACATGCCTAACGATAATTCGCACAGGAAATACATTTTGAAAAGCCCTATGACCGTGGCCATAAGTACAGGGCCAAACAATTTTGGATTTTACAAAAACACATGCCTAGAAAAAATATTATTTTTTGTTAAAAAAAAATCGTATATGTCCCGCGATCTGTTTACTATCTACGGTATTACCCTTTGAGTGGTTGCATTTGGTTTGTCAACGTACATATTTGTGTTTGCCCGTGCGAACAAGTTGTATAACTTATACATTAGCAATAAATAAGGAAAGAAATCTACACAATGAGTGGCGGGGCCAGCTTCCCATCACAAGCTTTCCGCTCGCCATCACCAATGGCGCATGATTCACGAGCCAGCATCTTCTGTTTCTGGCGCTCCTTGTACTCGAAGCAAAGGCGCAACCAAATCCCTTGACACATCCGCACTAGTCGAATGTCGTGCTCCTTGTGAACCTTTGCAAACTGATATTGGGAGCGTATGAGATGCTTGGCCAGACGAAGCTGTCCACGCTGTATCAGCGATATGCTATAGTATAGTTTGCAGCGCGCCTGCAGGAATGGATCACCCAAACGCATGCCAATGTGCAATTGTTGTAAGGAAATCTTACCCGCTGTGTCGGCCTGCAATAGAAAAGTATTGCAACTATAGCAAATAAATAATTCATAGGACCGCCATTTGGGGCAGAGACCTAAGCCAATTTAAATATTTTGGATGCTACTTACACAACGTTCGAACTGTTCGCCAAGCGCAGAAAAGCCACCGCCTAGTGTGGACAACCAAGACATCAGATGTTCCACTTCGATGTGCTCCCAGAGCGTGTGCGCCAGCATATCGGCCCATTTGTAGTCGATGGTATCACGTACCGGCGGCTGCAGTTCTAGCCATAAAAGTTGTACACCATGGCGCTCCTGTAACCGCCGCCGAAGTGCCTGCTGTTGCAATATCTCCCGCAGCCAGTAGTTGCCACTAATAGCGTCCAGTTTTAGTTGCAAGCGGCGTAAGTTCTGGTTGTTGTGATTGAAGCTACCGCCAGCTGCGACCCGGAACATTGGATCATTGTTGCAGCTACTGGGATGGTAGTAGTGGCGACGTTGCCAATAATCACAAATACACACAGTTAAAGTTTGTGTCATATTGTATGGAATTGGGGCGCCTCCAGGGCCAGCTGTGATGTGAGCGACGTTATCGCAAAGTTCATAAATTTAAATTATGTATGTATGAATGTATGTTCAAGGGTCCAACCAAAATTTTTGCGCAAGCTGTTGCTGTTGTTGTGATTTTGCTATCAGCAGATAAAAAATGTGGAGCTGCCACATTTGTGGGACTTGCAACACATAAATTATTTCGTTACTTACAGTTATTGCTATATTACAATTCAAGTTAAGATTATACCTGCATAAGGTTATGGTAAAAGTATACAATATGAGATCGAGTTTTGAAGTTTCTAGAACTCCTGTACTGACCGACCGGCAGCACCGTAAGCGTTTTGTTTACGTTTTGTATGGGCAGCTCCAACAGGTCTGGCAACGCATACCGCTCTGAGTGTTGACGGCAGAACTTGTGTTCCTCTCATTTTTGATGTTTGTTGTTGCTGCCGTTATTGCCCGACAGTAGATGCAAAAGTTGTTATACGCATTTTTCAGTTATTGCTCAGTGCTCGGGTCGGTTCTGTGCGCGCGCTACAACTATTTTATATAGTTACATGTTTTTTTTGTGCGTGCTTCATTTAATATATTTTTGTGAATGACCAGCTGTTGAGGGTGCCGTTACATTGACTAAAATACACAATCATTAGACGAGGGGAACTGGTACGAAAGTTAACAAATGTGATGATTGCCAAAATCGGCAACTGTGATAAAATGTCCAAATCAAATACATAAAACTAGTTGTGTGACGCATTCGTGTCTGTGGCAGCTCCCTCACTGCGGGGGGCGGGACTGCGGCGTGAAGGGCAACGGAATAATAGCGAACCGATTACCAAAACAAAATATAAATATTTTATTAGACGGCGGCTGCCATCAGCTGCATAATAATTCTCAGCCAAATGATGTATGAATGAATAGTGCATTGGTCGATACGGAAAGGGGAGGAGGTAAGCCGGTGGTACTACATATTGTTTCAAAAATTATAGCCATGTATGCAAATACGAATGTAAATATCTTGAATGTCAACGAGTCTTATGTGACGCCCCCTTCATAACGAAGGGCAACAATTATTATCAATATTGCACTGCCCTATGGCATTCCTACATATACATATATGCATATCCTATGTCTGTATGCATGTATTTGTCTGTATAGTGGCGATTTTCTCTGTCAGTCCCAGATTTTCTCTATCTATGCATGTATCTATCAATGTGCAGTACCTTAATAGGTAGATACATACACATATTGCACTTTTCGAGGGGTGCTTAAAGTTCAGCATCATTGACAAGTGCATCGCCAGGGTGTTGGCCAACAGCGCTGGAAATGGTGGGAATGGCTTGGGTCTCAACACTCAGCATACACATCTGGAACGCATTTCAATTCTGGAATTGCAAACCCTGGTTTTTAACCCCCATCAGTTGCAATCATCGAAATGATTCTGCGAATATTTTATAAAAGTGCACTAACGAGCCTCAAAATCGATTAAGTTTCCAGTTCCATCATGTAAGTTCAGGTACTTTGCTAGGCCAAACAATAATTAATTATCCAGCGCCTCCAATTAAATACTCTATAATCCAATATTCCACGCGCAAGCCCACTACACGTTTTATTTATGTCCACTTTTGTCACCATGACTTTTGCAATTTTAACTGAACCCAAATCGTTTAGTTACTAACAAATTGTTAACCTTCATTTTCGTATTAATTATGCAGCAGTAATGACCTAAAGCCAAGGAACACCACTAGGCGCTCGTTGAAAAAAAAAGTTGGAAGGCAATACAGCAAAACCATTATACCTAGACCTGTTCAGTAAAAATCTCACAAGCGTCCAATTAAGTTTCATTCTACCAGCCCAAGCTGCGTATGAGTAATGTAGCCTACATCCATATAAATATATATATAGATATATGTACGTGTTTGTATGTATGGAATATGTATCTGTATGTATGCACGAAAGTACTTTTTTCGCCACTGCTACCTAACAATGGCCACTCGGCAAATGTCAACGCCACCAAACGAGTTGGCATTCGAGCCACAGACGACTGGCGACTGACGAGGGACGCTACTACTGCTGTCTAATAAAAAGCCACTAGTTGCTACAAACTAAGCGAGCCGGAGGCGTTGAGCGCTAATATTCCGATCGACGACGACTCACACAACCACGACCATAAGGTGAGTGCGAATCACTTGACACTTGACACTTGACTTCCTTCTTTGCATGTCGTCATGGTAGAAAATATTCGCATAATTGAGATTTTCTGAATCGAAATGAAACGGATCTAAGCGCATGGCGAAATACAAGAGTGAGCACTATATAGAAATGTCTTACAGATATTACGAATCATATATCATCATATTTTGACTAATTTCACATTCACAAAGTTCAAATATGTAATGCTCCATAAATGGTAAAACAGAGTTATGGATGACAATTAGTTGAAGTGCCTTCCCTCGCCCCTCCCCCTCTCCACTCACTCACTCATCAATATTTGTTGTCACGTGGAATAAACTCCGCCATGCATAATCGATTCCGGCTCATTTAATATTGTTTCTTTCACTTAATGCTATTTCATTTGTCAAATAATTGTTGGTAATTTGCAGTAATAGATTGTAATAGACGAAATAATGTGACAGTGCGCACTAAATACTGAATTTTGTGGATTTTGTGAAAGACAAAGCACTATTGGTAAAGGTTGTGGCAATTCCTCTTCATAAAGGCCATATAAACACTAAAGTGAAATAATCATTATCGAATAAATAAAAAAAGAGTATTGTGATTTCGCACCGAATCGAGAAAACTTTAATAATATTTCCAATAAGATCCCAATTCTCAATCCCCTCTATTTTTGTTGCAAACTCCCAGCTCTAGTCCGAGCTACCTGTTCTTTTCCATGATTTATTATAAAAGTGTAAACTTATGCTACAGATAAGACATAACTTATCTTCTCTAGTCGAAAATGTTGCACGAGAATTTTAATCAAATCATTATCGATGCAAAGCGACGCCGATGCCTTCGATTTTGGACGACGTCTAAGCGTTACGAGTGGACGAATACATGTGTCGATTCTAATAGGCCAACGCCAATAAATGAAATTTGTGTTTATATTGTATAGATTACGCATTGTTACGTCCAATTGATAAATATTGGGAATCGCGTTCAGCTCAACTCAGTTTCGAATTGTTCGTGTTCGCAAACGGTGGTGTTTTCGGAGTCCCTCGAATTGGAGTTGCCGCCACAAAAAAGGGAACTTTCGTTTTGTCCAACAATCGGTTCCCGCTCGAAACCACTTTTTTTTCTTTTTTTTTTGTGATTATCTGTCTTGCCAAGTGAGTGCTTTGTGGTACCGAGGTACCTCTGTCATAAATTATTCAAATTATCGGAGTCCATCTGCATCAGCTGTTGGTTAGTTGAATTTATGTTAGGTTTATTTGCCTATCGGCTACCCCCAAAGTCTGCCAGCTTTAACAGACTCTTCAGAAACCCGAACATTTTTGCAAGTAATTCTCATGTCAGCTATTTTTGCGTTCACATGTACTGCCCCTAACTGATTACATTATCGCCTAACCGCGTTGGTAACCATTGGTACTTCGACTATTAGAAACAAGGAACCCTTAGCTAGTGCTATAACGACCAACTCGATTATATTAAGTGCACGTTCACATAATAAATAGGCTGTCATAAAAACTATACACAGCTCAGTTTTTCTTTGCTTAGGACAAATGAGCCTAAAATAGGATTTTAAAGTATTAATGTTGTGCAATGTTTGTTTACTTTTATACCCTGTACCCGTAGGGGAAAAAAGGGTATATTAGATTTGTGCGAAGTATGTAACAGGCAGAAGGAAGCATCTCCGACCCCATAAAGTATATATATTCTGAATCAGCATGACGAGACGAATCGATCTAGACATGTCCGTCCGTCTGTCCGTCTGTCCGTCCGTCCGGATGAACGCTAGGATCTCAACAATAATTCGCCAATAATGTTCATATTTCAAAAGGTACATAAATTAAACTGCACACGTTATATATGTACAGATATCTACTTTAGCTTCAAATTTCATCCGGGTACAGGGTATTTCACTGTCGGGCTTGCTCGGCTAGCGTAGCGTTGTCTCTGGTTTCAATACTCTTTATGTTCGATTGCCAACCAACTTATTAGCTTCGCTTTTTATTATTATTAACTATTTCAAATGTTGACAGTTTTGACACATCTAGTATATAGAAATGATATAAAATTTCAACCAATTGTTGAAAGGTTACTATGAAATGATTACTTTGTTAAACAATTAAAAGCTTTAAAACAAACAACGATTTATCAACTAATAATTAAACATTTTTGTTGTAAAAAAGACACTTTGACCATATAGTGTGCAAATAGTTTTTAATTCATTCATTATTGAAGAAGGCTTTACATTTTATTTGATGAGTAAAATTGTAAAACAATATGGGCATAAGATGTGCGCTTAGGGTATAACATTATCTGGGCAATATTGGCCCAATGATGAACATATGGAGGACCCCTCGACATTGCGGTTCTTTATAACTCGAAAAATCACCGAGAAACAGCAGATGGACTACAGAGCTTTCTCAATACACTGGCAGCTTGGTGCACTAGGTGGAATTTAAAGGTCAATCCCATGAAAACCTCTAACCCCTGCTTCACGCCGAAAATGCTAATTCCCTGCACGCCTCCTATTCAGCTTGAGGGAGTAACCCTAGAACAGCCAGTGCAAGCTAAATACCTTGGCATTACCCTAGACAAGCGTCTCACTTTTTGGCCACATCTGAAAGCTACGGTAAAAAGATGTGGCCAAAGAATGCAACAGTTGCGATGGCTACTAAATAGAAGGAGCACTATGCCACTTAGAGCAAAAAGAGCTGTCTATGCCCACTGCATAGCTCCGATATGGCTGTACGGTATTCAAAATCTAATTATAAGCGCGTCCAGGTCCTGCAAAATCGTGCATTGCGGCAAATTACCAACTGCCCCTGGTACGTGCGCGGCTCGACCCTTCACCGTGACCTAAACCTTTTCACCGTGGAGGAGCAGATTGGAAGGCATACAAGTAGATACAGTGACAGGCTTCTGAGTCACCGCAGTTTGCTTGCAAGAGGACTCCTTCCTGCTAGACCTTTGCGAAGACTGAAACGATTAGGTTTTTTCAAAACATTTAGATAAGCATAAGCCACCACTAACTTATTAATCCTCGCGCGGAAGTGCTCGAGGTTGGGCTATTTTATATTTGTAAAAATGTATTGTTAAGGTGCTAATCTGAATGCACGGCTTCAATGCTGTGATTAAACAGAAGAAAAAATATTGTCTTGGTGCTAGTCTATCTTTATAGCTTTCGGCCACATGCCAACGGAGCTGGCTCGTAAATGTGTTGCCATTACGCAATTATATTGGTGTCCCTAACAAGGCCAACAAAGTTTCCTTTGTTCATCCAACAACTAACCTTTATTTACATATAAATTGCTTATCTTATCGATTTGCAACGCACTTGTTGTGACAAATTTGACGTAACTATACATAGTAGTTTAGCCGGTGTTTGTTAAATACTCGCATACAGATGTTCCCAACATGTCCAAACACACCGACTAGGGGGGCGGGTTCCATACAGCAGCCATGTTGCGTGTACATGTGTGTGTGTGTGTGTGGCAAAGATAACGGTTAATTGTCGTGACTCACTGCCAAGCTATCCCCAATAAAAATATAAAACTAAAGCCAACCAACCACCCATTTGACTATGAATAGTTTTTGAATTCGTTAAGCAGTTATTGAAAGGACCGGATTGAGCTTGTTTTTTAAGGACGAATAGTTGTTAGGACTCCTAACTTAGGAGTGCATTTAATATGTGATGTGAACTGCAATACAATTGTCTTAATAACTGTTAATTTTACGGGCTTTTTACAGCTACTACGTCAATTAGTTGAATCAGCTGACTGAAGGAGTACTGGCGTGGCCTGTTTAAGTGCCTTGATATAGACGATAGACCAGATATGCCGGTACATATTGTTGCTGCTGATACCTAAGACTGCAACGAAAGGGAAACCGATACGCCTATCAAAAGCCGCACAACCAACCGACCAACCAACTGAAGTCGTCAACACAATGGCTAAGGTTAGCAATTGGGACAAATTTGTGTTACTGCTCTGGAAAAATTGGACGCTGCAATGGAACCACAAGTGGCAGTTGATCATCGAACTGCTGTTGCCGGTGGTGTTCTCGCTGCTGTTGGTGCTGGTTCGAGCGTTGGTGGCCGCGGAGCCCATCACAACAGAGACCCATTACCGACCACTAAAGATAGACACGCTAGAACTATACCAGTAAGTTATGCAGTTGGCGACAATTCGCGACGATTCGCCAGTGAATTCATGTCTCGTCTTTTAGTTTTCGGTTTCGATTCGATCGATTTTGTTCAATTCCTAGTTTCTGCTTTGTTCTTCGTATTGTTTTCAAAATTATGCCAAATGGTTTTGATTTTGTTACGAAAGCACGGCTGCTTTCCCTGCATACTGTATATATTGAGTTATATATTTGGTTGCAATATTCATTCAATTTCTTCGATACACTGTTTTTTCCACTCACTTGCTATATACATACTATACATATGTACTATATGTGCAGTGTGCGAAATAAGTGTGTAGTGGAAAGTTGTGTGCAAATTATTTGCCCGTCTGTCCATACTTTACTGAAGCTTAGGCATAACTATTCCAAAAGCGGAGGAAAAATACAAATAGGAAATAAGAATTTAGGACTCGTGAGCCACTTGAACTATTGATATAGCCACCAGATTGTCGTAATCTGGCGAATACCCACAACATTTCTCCAAAGTTAGGAGCTGATAGAATCGTCGCACATTTGTGGAAATGTTTTCTTCCCCCCTGTTGTGACCGCAAATTAACGTATCGTGCCGTCTCCTTGGAGAGATACACTCCATTGTGTGAATAGTCCAAGAGAATAGTGTATTTTCATATAGGATTGTTTATGAATATTATAAAACAATGTAGGTATTATACTTGTATGTATGTATATGCATATTTCGCACACTGAGCAGCCTCTATTCGTTTAGTGTATATGTAAATGTATTCTTGTATACAACACAACTTTCAGAGATGCAATGCTAGGTTCGCGTCGCATGCACGCCCTCATATCGCTGCTAATGTCCAAGAAGAAGAAGAGGTAAACTATATTTTTGTTGTTCAAAAAATTTGCTTGATCTTACTGTAGCTTCTTAGTATGTATTGCAAGTTTGAATTATGCATGCATGCACTGTATCTAAAAACCAAACAATGACAGCAAAAAAATACAGATAACACACCACCCCTACACCCACAACACTAATCAGAGGTGGAAGAAACGACCCAGCTAATCGCTGCACTAAAATACAATCTAGCTTTGCCAATGCCTTATCATATTAACAAATAGCTAATTGAATGTAGATATACTTGTGTGTACTTATATTTGTGTGTGTGTTTGCAATTAGAAAATTTATTGTTTAATCCAATGCCCCAAACATTTTCCCCGCAATTCAGCGAAACCATGGCACATCAGGGCATACTCACTGGTCCGACTTTTGAGCTATACTACTCTCCCAAGAAACCATGGCTAGACAGTATACTAGAAGAAACAATACAGACCCTGAACATGACAGGCTATACGGGTTTCGACAATGCTGCCGAACTGGAGAATGCATTGGTGGGCCAAAATGTCTTTGCCGGCATACAGTTTGACGACGATTGGGCCAATTTGGACGAGCTGCCGAAAAAATTCCACTACGCAATCCGATTTCCCGCTGAGTCGCGTACCGCATCCTATAACATTGGCTTGACTTGGCTGACGATGCGTCTATTTCCCATTATTGATCTGACGGGTCCGCGAAATCCCAGCTCCGACGATGGGGGCCTGCCAGTTGGCTATTTACGCGAGGGCTTTCTGCCCGTACAGCATGCTCTGACCATGGCCTATCTACGTCAGATGTCTGGAAATGCAACACTGCCGGAGGTGGTCATGCAACGTTATCCGTATCCGCAATACATTTCCGATCCGCTGCTCGAGGGCTTGGCCTCAATTATGTCGCTGATCATACTGCTTAGCTTCATCTACCCCTGCACATACATAACGAAGGTAAGTGGACCTGGCGTGTTCGGGTTGTGACTCCTCTCACGGCATTTCAACCACTTGCAGTACATAACAGGCGAGAAAGAGAAACAGTTGAAGGAAGTCATGAAGATCATGGGCCTGAACAATTGGATACATTGGACAGCTTGGTTCGTCAAGTCGTTCATCATGCTAACAATTTCGGCCGTATTGATAGCCTTATTCCTAAAGGTATTTAACGGAAAGTTCAAAGGATAACTTGAAATTTAATGACTTCTCACCTCAGATACAATGGACCGAAAAGGTGTCTGTGCTAACATATGCTGATTTTTCAGTGCTGGTCGTATTCCTGATAGTCTACGTTATTACGAGCATATGCTTTTGCTTCATGTTGGCTACGTTCTTTTCAAAAGCAAGCACGGCTGCCGCTGTTACGGGCCTTCTGTGGTTCATCGCGTATATACCGTTCTCGTTTACGGTCAATACCTACGACGATCTGTCGCTAGGAACAAAGCTTGGCTGGAGTCTGATATCGAACACCGCCATGGGCTTTGGAGTCAAACTTATCCTCGGATTTGAGGGCACCGGAGAGGGTCTGCAGTGGAGCAACCTCTTCACACCCGTATCCATAGACGACACACTGACCGTGGGCGCCATTATGCTAATGATGCTTCTATCCTGCTTCATTTACATGCTGGTTTGCTTGTACGTCGAACAAATTTTGCCGGGCGAATTCGGTGTACCCAAAAAGTGGAACTTTCCTTTCACCAGAAAGTTCTGGTGCGGTGATATTGACTACGCCGGAGTTGAGGACATCCCGAACGGCCACATTGAAAACCGTAACCCCGACGCTTTCGAGGTGGAGCCAGAGGACAAGCATATTGGCTTGCAGGTTCGCAATCTGAAAAAAACGTTTGGAAAGAAAACGGCCGTCAAAGGACTATCAGTAAATATGTATGAAGATGAAATTACCGTGCTCTTGGGACACAATGGTGCTGGAAAGACCACGACCATCTCCATGCTTACCGGCATGTTCCCTCCAACCATGGGCACGGCCATCATCAACGGCAGTGACATTAGAACGAATATTGAGGGCGCTCGGATGTCGCTCGGAATTTGTCCGCAGCACAATGTGCTCTTTGACGAGATGAGCGTATCCAATCATATCCGCTTCTTCAGTCGCATGAAGGGATTAAGTGGCAAGGCTGTCGAACAGGAGGTAGCTAAGTATTTAAAGATGATCGAACTGGAGGACAAGGCGAACGTGGCTTCGTCGAAGCTCTCGGGTGGCATGAAGAGAAAACTGTCCGTATGCTGTGCCCTCTGCGGTGATACAAAAGTTGTGCTCTGCGACGAGCCGAGCTCCGGCATGGATCCCTCGGCACGTCGTCAGCTATGGGACCTCCTGCAGCAGGAGAAGATAGGGCGAACACTTCTGTTGACGACTCATTTCATGGATGAGGCCGATGTTTTGGGCGATCGCATCGCTATCATGTGTGACGGAGAGCTGAAGTGCCACGGCACATCGTTCTTCCTGAAGAAGAAGTACGGTTCGGGCTATCGTTTGGTATGTGATAGGCCGTAATGGCTACCTTAGCTTTCAAAGTAACCGTATGCCTCTTATTTTCAACAGATTTGTGTGAAACGTGAGAACTGTCAGCCATCCGAAGTGACGGAATTGCTGAACAGATACATACCTGGCCTGGTGCCCGAGTGCGATATCGGAGCGGAGCTTTCCTACCAGCTGCCTGACAGCTATTCGTCCAAATTCGAAGAGATGTTTGCTGCCCTTGAAGAGAACTCAGACGCTCTTTTCCTCAACGGTTATGGCGTCGGCATTACATCCATGGAGGAGGTGTTCATGAAGGTGGGCGCTGAAAAGGGTAGCGACGGTAAGGTTAAGGACCAGAACGCTATCATGAATGGAGGCACTGGATACGCCGAGGAGGACGTTGAGTCCGTTCAGTGTAAGCAGTGATTGAACTAAGTCTGCCCGACGTGGCGATTGATAAGCTCAAATTACTGCTTTCAGCGGATGGCATGTTTGCGGACAGTCGGCGTTTGCTCAAGGGTTCCCAGCTATTCGTTAATCAATGGCGCGCGATGCTCCTGAAGAAGCTGCTCTACACATACCGAAACAAATTGCTACTTCTCATACAAAACATGATGCCCATCTTCTTTGTCGTGGTCACCATATTAATCACACGCACCCAAGGCACTTTCCGGGAACTGCCGTCCATGACTATGAGCTTGACACAGTACCCTGTCGCAGTAACGGTACTGGAGCGTGGGGCCAACGTAACGGCCAGCTCAGTCGAGGAAAAGATGGTGGAGGAGTACCAGAAGTTAGCCGAATCCTACGGTCCGGATTACACATTCGCGTCAACCGGTAGCGGAAACTTCTCCGATTATATTCTTAAGCTAGGCGAGGCCATACAGGTGCGCATTAACGCGCGGTACCTGGCCTCGGCGACAATATATGCCGGCAAAATAGTAGCTTGGCTGAACAATCAGCCGATGCACACGGCCCCACTGACCGTCAACCTGGTGCACAATGCCATCGCACGTGTGTTAATCGGTAACGATAGCGAGATACGGGTAACTAACGCACCCCTGCCGTATACGACAAACACGCTACTTACTCAGCTCAATACGGGCAACAATCTGGGCACACAACTGGCCACGAACCTGTGCTTCTGTATGTGCTTTGTCAGCGCCTTCTACATCCTGTTCCTGATCAAGGAGCGCGAGTCCCGCTCCAAGCTCCTCCAGTTCGTCGGTGGTGTCAAAGTATGGACCTTCTGGCTGTCGCAACTGCTCTGGGATTTTTTCACGTACACGATCACAGCGCTGATCGTTATTGTGACTATAGCCTGCTTCCAGGAAGATGGCTTTACGAAATTCTCCGAACTGGGTCGTTATTTCTTACTTTTGTTAATTTTCGGCTGCTCTGTTCTACCATTCACCTACATAGTGTCGCTGTACTTTAAAGAACCGGCTACTGGCTTCGCCCGCATCTCCATCATTAACATATTCGCGGGCATGGCCCTCTTTATTGTAGTTGTTGTGATGTCGTTTGAGTTCTTTGATACCAAGGACACAGCCAATATAATGGGCTGGTTTTTCCGCGTTTTCCCACACTTCTCTCTGGCAATGGGACTTAACAAAATGTACATAAATGTGGCTATGCGCAATGCCTGCGACAAGGTTGATGCCTTGCCGCCGATCCTGAGGTGTGAGCTAATACCCAAATGCTGCAGTGAGTAGACACTTTGCATGGGCCTTGCATCTCTTTCAAATTGAATCTTTAATTTAGATATGAAGGACTATTTCGCTTGGGAGGAGCCCGGCGTGCTTCCCGAAACCCTTTACATGGCAGTCACTGCGGTTGTCTTCTTCTTGATACTCGTGCTTCGAGAATTCGGTCTAGTCAATGAGCTTATCTATATGGTGCGCAAACGCACTTTGTAAGTAATTCTACTTCCTAGTTTGTGCAGAAAAAGTGTTGAGGGTTTAAATTGTACATTGTTTTGATAGCAAACCGCCGCCACCTCCTGAGAATGGTTACTTCGATGACGATGTTGAGCGTGAACGCCAACGAATCTTGAACATGACTTCGGCGGAGCTGACTAGCAAGAATCTGGTATTGGACCGTGTAACCAAGTACTACGGAAAGTTCTTGGCTGTCAATCAAGTGTCGTTGTGCGTGCAAAAGTAAGTGGTCGAGACAATTGGTCTGGTGGTGCGAAGATGCTTATATGACTACCCTATTTTTAGCGCCGAGTGTTTTGGACTTTTGGGTGTTAACGGAGCTGGAAAGACGACCACGTTTAAAATGATGACTGGAGATGAGCGCATCACCTCGGGATCCGCCTACGTTCAGGGACTCAGTCTGGAGTCGGACATGAATAGCATTTATAAGGAAATTGGCTACTGTCCGCAATTTGATGCGCTACTCGACGATCTTACTGGCCGCGAGATACTGAAGATTTTCTGCCTTCTCCGTGGCGTACAGCCGGCTCGGATTAATCAGCTTTCTGAGGATTTGGCCAAGTCTTTTGGTTTCATGAAACATATTGACAAGGAGACGCGTGCCTACAGTGGAGGCAACAAACGAAAGCTGAGCACAGCCATTGCCGTTATCGGCAGTCCGTCGGTTATCTACCTGGACGAGCCCACCACGGGCATGGATCCGGCAGCACGTCGACAACTGTGGAACATGGTCTGTCGTATTCGCGACTCGGGTAAATCAATTGTCCTAACCTCGCACAGCATGGAGGAGTGCGAGGCACTCTGTACGCGCTTGGCCATCATGGTCAATGGCGAATTTAAGTGCATTGGCTCGACCCAGCACCTAAAGAACAAATTCTCCAAGGGTCTCATACTAAAGATCAAGGTCCGACGCAACATGGATTCCCGAAAACTGTCTCGTACCAACAGCATTACACGCCATGGTGATGAACCCACAGTACCTATGCAAATTGCCCAGCAGGACATTAATAATGTCAAGGAGTTTGTCGAGCGTGAATTTCCGCAATCCATATTACAGTGAGTATAGTATTCTAGAATTTTTATTTAAAGGGAGGTGGCAGACCACATGTTAGACATGTCCGTTGCTCCAACTGTCCGTCTGTATGAACGCCGATAACTTTTGAGCCACAACAGCTAGGGACACCAAACTTGGAATGTCGACGTACCACACCAAGTTGTTCACAAACCATATATAGTGTCTACTCTATAGGTATTGTAATATTTGTTTCTCTCTCTTACTACTTTGTTTCTCAGAGAGGAGTACCAAGGAATCCTCACGTTTTACATTCCATTGTCTGGCATTAAATGGTCGGAAATCTTTGGTCTCATGGAGCACAAGCGGGAGGAGCTTAACATCGAGGATTACTCAATAAGTCAGACCACGTTGGAGGAGATATTCTTGGACTTTGCCAAGTACCAGCGCGAGGATCCGCGTTCCTTGAAGTGAGATAGCCCCCAAGCTGTAGACGTTGCTAACTTCTCTTTCAAAACATACGCTCTATCTGCACCGCCGCACACTGCATACCCACACACACACACACACACACACGCACATAAAAGCATACACACAGAGCCGACAGAGTTCGGCTCCTATGCTATTCATAAACGATATCTTTTTTGTTTGTTTAATTATTTAGATCCATTTTTAAAAATTAACCAATTTACATTTTAGCTAGTTGTTTATTCTTGTAGAGCCGCCACCTTAGCATAATCTTTCAACATACATACTACATACTTATATGCTATGCTCGGCCTAAACAAATTTACCTACACGCTAACCAACGCCTTGCTAACCGCATAAGTAGCATTGTAATCGATCGATTTTAATACTTGGTAAACAATTGCCAATTAGCGAGCACCCTTCTGCTGTTTGCACTCTATTAATTAATTAACACTGTCTTTCATGTAAGCAGCGTAGTCAAGGCAAGGAAACTTTGCAGCTGCAGTTGCCTATTAAATTAAGCGGCTGTCACCACCGGACCGGGCCGGACCGCATCAGGCCGGACCACCCCAACTAGTCAAATAAAGGCGACAATTAAAAAAAAACCAACAAACAAACGGACCTGGACGGCGTACCTGAAACGGCGAGCACAAAACTTCACCAACAATTGACGTTAAATGTTATTTTAAAAAAGGAAAGTGATGTTGAATCAATTTTAAATTAGTTACACTTATAAACAATTAGTTCTACCTTGTTGCCTTGTGATTTATTAGAGAAATTAATACCTAATGTAAATCTATGCTATATATGTATGTATGTAGTTATGCATAGTAACGCACACACGTACATTATGTACAAACATTTAGGCGTATATCGTCTAAGCACATAAGTTCCAACGCTATACGAGTACACAAAGCAGGGCTATGCTCCAAAAATGTATATGTAATTATTTTTATAACTATTTAAAATCACAAACAAAACAGAGCCGATGTGTAGTCGTACTTAAATACGAGGTATTCCTACTTTTGCACTCCGCGCCATCGGCCTCTACAAATGTAAATTAAATGTAAAACAGTCGAGTTCAACCAAAGTATGTAAATAGGAGCAACAAATATATATTCAATAACATTTTCAAAATGATTGTTATCAACGAAAAAGAAAACAATATCTATCTACTTGTATATTCTATCATCGAATTACAAATTTAATGTACTCTAGCCTCAACGGTCAACAAGGTGCGCTTCAAAGTAAACAGGAGTGGGGAATATTATCGACTTGCAGCTCTGCCGGAAGCGCAGTTATCGACCACAATGTAACACTGTATTTTTGTTATCGGTACAAAAGTGAGCATCGAGCAAAGAATCAATCTTAAAGTTTTGTGTGTCTTAAACTTGGTACCGAAACGTTTGGGCCAAGTTTATGGTCTTGCAGCCGAAAAGATCCGGACATTGATCAAACAGAAGCTAAAATCTTCATTGAAATTAATAGAAATGATATTGAACAGCTCCGTAGCATCAATATACCCCATTTTTATCGAACATTTGATCCACATCGTAACTGGCAAAAAATAGTGGTGTCCTTATATGATCCTGAAACCGAGCGACAGAGTGCCGAGTGGAAGAAGTCAAAAGTTGATTTGCTTTCAAGATTGGATTGCCGATTGGATTTGCCGATGAATGCGGTATGTTTTACGTCCACATACCCCGTCGAAAGGGCTGGTACTGACATCATTCATAAAGACCATCCCGTCCAACGAGCTCGACATGCTTTTTGACCGAGTCACCCACTTTATCAAGTCCGGAAGGGAATATTTTGATTGTGAAAGATGTTTGATTGTTTTTATTATTTTTGAAAAGTCTCGTTTACTTTGAAACGCAACTTGTACCAGTTTTCGTTGTAAATGCTTTTATTTGAAGCCCTCAACCCGATGATTCCTCCACTTATGGCGAGCTATTGCGTTCGTAGTCGATCTGCATGAGTACAATGGCATTTAGAGTTGAGGCTGTGAGAAAAGAGAAGGCCATTCTCTTGTGGAACGAGAATAGACCGTACATTTGGAGAACAAACGGCTTACAGAGCAATTGGAATTTAAACAGATGCAGCTATTAGGGGGAGGAAAGAGCAAAAATAAAAATACATTTTGGTAGAAGTTTTGGAGTCGTTCACCTGTCGTGCGGCGTCTTCACACAAGGTCTGTCGATCAATATATTGCTGAAGCACAATCCCAGGCAGTGTTGTCAGTCGGACGGATTCGAAGATGGCATTGGAGAAGATGGATATGTCGCCATAGTAGGAAAGACAAGCGCAGAAAAGTAGGCAAAGGTCGCTCGTAGTGAGCGCCAAAACATTCTCGCCGTACTTTAGAAAAGTGTAGATGAGATAGAAAAGCGCCATATTGGAGGCGTACATGGTGAGTAAGCAGCAACCACCCTGTGCCATATAGACGCTGTTGATGCGCAACAACAACTGCTGCAGTCCACTGTAGGAACGGGCGATGCGTCGGACCTGGAAGGCCCTCAATTCGCCATCGCCATCGCCTACCTCTAGTAGCCGCTCAAACTGGGCTTGCCAGAGCGAGATCTGTAGATTCAACGAAGTTACGTAGAAATAATAGTGGAGCATAATGACATCGGGCAGAGTTGTCAGCCAGAATATGAGGACCAGGGCCAGTAATACGCCCGTGTCGACACGACGCTTCATAATCGCCAGCAGCAGCAACAAGCTGAACAGATCCGAGAGTTGTGTGGTAAGAATCTTGCGTACTATGTCGAATTCGAAGCTCTGTTGCAACTCCCTTGACATAGAGAAGTGCAGTCTACGAAATCGCCGATAGCACCGCATTAAGGTAAATTGCTCCGCATAGTTCTGTGCTAGGGAAACGGCCAGTGTTGCGTATCGTATGCCAATGACGCCTCCTGCCACCAATTGGGGCAACTGGAGTCCTGCGAATACCGCGCGTACTTCCTGGCTGATGAGCAACACCAACGGCAAGATGGCCAGCACGAGAATGTTCACACAGATGTTATAGCGCATATTGTGGCCGTTTAGTTGTAAATCCTGTTTTTCAAAGTCATAGTCCAAAGGGCACATGCCCAGCACCCGCGAGTACACATAGACGAGTCGTACAAAGCGATTAGTGCGCGTATGTCCTGACATGTCATCGCTTAAACAAAACTACAACTGAAGTACGAAAACTAACAGGGCTATCTATGCAATTTGTCGGAGTGGTTCAACGTGCTCCTCGATTGAGTATTTGATACATATCTGTGTGACCTTAATATTCAATTTAGATGCGAAAGACCGGACATTTGGAATGGGAAAAATTAGCCTTCCGATTACAAAAGCAATCACTTAAATACATACTCGTATGTGTTGTATAAGAGAGTTCGATTGAAATGCAGTATGCATAAATAAAGAGAGACAAATAAAGATCGTCTTAATGAGTGCATGCACAAATGGTTGAATAGATAGTCTTCATTCGCCTCAAGCAACAGAACTTTCCATGCGAATGCTTTTTAGCCACTTGCCTCTCATAATCTGCTCAAGTGATTGTTCCTACTAATAAAATGTTGCATTTGCCTGTTCTACTCATTTGCCATTCTGAAACGCGCGCTCAAACATTTATTCATTCATTTGGCGCGTGCAGCCCTCTGCTATGCCTATGCATATGCGGCAGTTTCGAATTCAAGAGATTGAATTGCGGTCTGTTTTTGCTCTAGGAATTGTAAATGTCACTTATACTCATATATGTATTTCTAAAATCGGTTTATACAATTTAATTAGAAAGCATGTCGGGGTACTTTGGCGGCCACTGATGGCGGTAATGAAGCTTTGGATTAGGAGTGGATCTAGTAATTTCATCAATAAGCGGCCTCACAGTTAATTTTCTTGGTTGTTATCTCCGATTTTAGGATCTTTATCCTTTGTTTTGGGGCGTCCCAGCATATCCATGTTCGTCCCTCGAATCATGTTACGTGTTATGTAAAAGGCTTCCAAATTATTTTCGAAGGCTTGTTTGCGTATGTATAGAAAGATTCGCGAAAACGTGGTGGACTCGAGTGGTACGTAATAAATCATGATGTCCTCATGTTGGTCGCTACGTATGGAATACAGGAATTATGTTATCGCATATCATTTGTTTAAATGCACTACTTACATCAATGTCGATTCGGGAAATGTTTCCTCCATATAGAGGGAAAATCTCTCATGCGGCGTCATTGGAAATTGACTAACCCGAGTCCAGTTGTGTCGCGTCACACTCACCGGCAAGGTGTACACAAATTTTCGCCTGAAGCGCACCTGCACTTGATAGCCAGGCTTATAGCGATGCGCGTAGTCTCCATGCACCCCGATCGACCAGAACTTTCCTTTATAGATCACCGGCGTGCGTTGGCACAGGTGTTCGGTGTCGATTGGCGAGAGGGTGGTGTACAGGAAAGCGACGCCACGCTTTTGCAAACTGGTCGTGATTTGGAAAATATTGCGCTTCCCTATGGGATCAATGCCAGCCGGTACACTGTCTATGCACGCCAGAACCGGATCGCCCATAACAGCCAGTGCGAAGGTGAGACGACGGTACTGGCCTGTCGTGCAGTAGCAGAGCGGCCGTTCGTAGCTACTATGGAAGCCACACATGCGCGCCAGAGCTTCGCAGATTAGCTCCGCCTCGTCGTAGGGGTAGGGGTAGAGCATGGCACACATTACCATAATCTCACGCGGCGTGAACTCATTGGGCAGATTGTAAGACTGCGTGGTACAGCCCAGGATCGGAAAGCATTTCGAGCGCTCTTTGTTTATGTTGAGACCACGAATCCAGATGGATCCATGTGTGGCGGTTTCTTCCCCAACCAGTAGCTTTACTAATGTCGATTTACCCGAGCCATTCAGTCCCATCAGACCCACACATTCGCCTCTATATTACTTACATTCAACAAAGGAGCCTTAAGGTGATGATGAACTACTACTCACTTGCTAATTCTCAGATATAAACGGTTGAGCGCCCATTTCTTGCCATACCGCTTGCAAATGTTTTCACAGACAACCGCAAAGAATTGTCGATTCCCGCTGTGTATGTGCTGAACGAGCTGACGCTCTCTGATGACCGATTCATCCATCGGATACTCGGCATTTTGTCCATGTCTTGCCTTGTGGTCGTCTTGCTCGATCTGTCTGGCTAGTTTTAAATTATCTCTGTGCCAGTTGGGTAAGAGCTTAATGCTATACAATTCAATGAGAATTATAGCGACCCAGGGTGTGACAATCGTTAGCAGCATGATGAAAAACTCAAATCGAATCCCATTATCGGAACCCCAATAAGTATAGTCAACTGTAAATGATTGGGGAAGCAATACGCTTTAGTGTGCTCAGCGGCATACGAGTATATTACTTATGTCAATACTTAACTGCAACAGTTCGGCCTGTCATAGCAATGCATGATGTCCTTGGAGATGAAGCTTATGTACGGATCCTTGCAGAACTCTTTGGTCTCATAGATGAGAAAGAGCTTGAAGAGGATCTCTCCGAATGTGTATTGCGTGAGAAATTGGTACTGGTCGGGCAAATTGTGGAGCACCTCCTTAGACTGGGTCACGATCAGGGTGAATGTGATAACGCCCAGGGCATTAACCAACGAGATCGCTATGTAGCCAGTGATGGGATCCGTAAAGAACATTGAAAGGCAGTAGGATGTGAACGTAACTGACAACCCTGCCAAAAGTACCACAAACAACAGCCAGCCTGCAAGTTAGACCTTTTAACTGAGAATAACGTTTAAGAATAACAGTCGATCATTCAACGTACAAATCAACATTAAATCCAGTCGCGGATTTAGAAAAAATGCTGTAAGTAATATCAGCCAGATGGTAACAAAGATCACCTGAACGAGATCGAATATCGTCACGCTTAGCCAGAACGACAACAGACGTGCCCCAGACAGGAACTGAACCTGCCTAAAAGTTGAAGAGCGCTCCCGTATGAGAAATATTGCGGACATCGGCCACACATAACAGAAGCAGAACGACAGGTTGATCGCCAGCAAGCTTCCCAGGGTGAGCGTCGACTGGGGGAACATGTTCACCGGCGTGTCAACGAATGGCAGGGGTACAAGGCTCACATCAATGCAGGCCTCCTCATTGAAAATGACTCTGTACGACAACATAGCATATTAAGAAGAAAAATAAATATTAACTATCCTTGGAGCTGTACTACTTGAATATATATTAACAACAATCGGATCACCCCCTTCGGTATAGAGAGGGTATTGAAATGATTATCTTAGCCACTTACCACTTACCTGGCTACGGCATTATGAACCGCATTTAGACTGAACGGTGCCGCATGTAGAGGTATGTTATTAAACCACGCTGTGATCGATTCGGTCTCAATGGTAGCGCCAAACATATATTTGAAGTTTATATCTTTTAGAAATGGACTATCCTGCTGAGTTAAGACAGAGTTGTGCTGTGATGATATTGGTATTTTGTGGATATGAGCATCGAACCAGAAAAGCAATTCCGCATACGAGTCTCGGAACTCCAGTGCCTCCGGACTCTCAGATAACGACTCAACGAACGCTTCAATATAATGCAACTGTGTCAGATTGTAGCACAGCGGGGTTAATTGATAGTATTTGCCATACAGTAGAATGGCAGCAAACGGAAATATGGTGGATATTATCAAGGCGCCCAAATTAAGAATTTTGATTGTCAGCCACCGCTTACTCATCGTCCACAACTTGTATATCAGAGCGGTCATTTGTCTTTTGAACCGATTTTTTCCACCCATTAGCAAAGCACGTTGCTCGAGAATGCTGTTATATTCTTGGATTAGTGAAACGGTATCAGTTGCCACCTCTTCTGGCTCATCGGGGAGCTCACCGCCAAACCGTAAAAAAATCTCCTCCATCGATGTTTCGCGTACACGAAAGCTTACCAAATCCAGCCGACGCATATTCTTCTCGAGATTCCCAAGCAACTCATCGAAATCATCCTCATATTTGTTTTCCAGAACATACGATATCTTCTGACCCACGTCGCTCTCAACCATTATATCAGGTATATGTTGGGCGAGGAATTCGGTCAACTTCTCCACATCGCAACTTATGCCTTTGATGCAGACCTGCGTAGATCAAGGCCTGACTGAACTGCCATCGTGCAGGGGAAGGCAGAGAGAGAGAGAGAGAGGGGGCGAAGACGAAAGGCACACTTACCAGCCGGAATCCGTGGCCATACATATTTCGCAGAAAGGGCTTACTTCCCGTACACTTGAGCTCCCCATTCGACATGATCGCAATACGGTCGGCCACAAGCACTGCCAGCTTAGTTGAATTGGAGACTATGAGGATGGTGCGTTTCGACTTCTCTTCGTTTATCAGTTTACAAATGAGCGATTGCGTGGGCAGGTCCAGATCTGAGTGGAGATCATCCAACAGTATAATCGAACTGTTCCCTGCAAAGGCGCACCCTATATTCACGATGCTGCGTTCTCGAGGCGACAACGATCGTATGACGCGCTGCTTCAAGTGCTCCATTTGCAGGGCTTCCATGAGGAATTTGACATCCTCGTTGATTTCGCTGCGAGGTAAGCCCTTGATCCGGCAGGTGAATCTTATCTGATCGAGAACAGTAAGATCGAAGTTGAGCAGATCGTCATTCAATCCCAAGCCCATTAGCATTGCAGCCTCGCCACGCTCTGATTTGATGTCGAAACCACCCACTATGACTGTACCGCGGTTTGGCTCGAGCAGCCCACCAATTACCTTGAGCAGTGTTGTCTTGCCGCAACCATTGTGCCCCAATAGTACAGTCACCTCGTTCTCGTAGACGTTCCAGGTGAATAAATTGAGGGCTGCACGCTCTTTCACAAAATACCGTTTGCAGAGCTTATTGATTATGACTCGAAAGCGGCGATGCGATGGCTCCACCTCGTAAATTTTCGTCGAATCAACGCCGATTCGGGGTGGTATCTGGGGTGTGAAATCGTTGAGGTATTCCGCATTGTTGGGGTCATTTTCGAAGGCACTGGTACGGTGTGGATTAGGACGGTTTCGTGTACGATGGCCCCTCAGCTCACCCGTGTGCCACACTTCCATGTAAAGTCCGAGCAGAAAATATATCACTGTCTGGGCATAGAATATCCAAGTGCCCTGGTAAACAGATATACGATTGGCGGCATAATTGAGGGAGTAGCCCTTATCATTCCATTGCTTTTGCACAATCAGCTCGCGTTCGATTAGACCCTCAAAGGTCAGGGAAACCACTGTGTTGGGAAATGCACTGACTATATAGCGTATGGCAACCACTGTCTTTTCGGGATTATTCCACAGCAATAAAAATGGGAGATATGTAAAGATCCAAATAATGGTCAGCATACAAATGCCTGTGTATACGTTTACAAAAAACGAAGCGATCGCAATGCAAAACGCAGTTGCTGCCATATTATACGTTAGTAGCACCAGCACTACCACTGACCACGGGGTTTCCGTGAGCAGTGCACTACTATAATGCCATTGGACCTGAGTGTTATACAGCGAGGCTCGGCGTTGAGGTCACAAAGTTAATGAGAAAATAAAGCGCCCTACCTTGACCATCAGCGAAATCAGTAAGGAGCTGAGCATCATGTACACCAGACCCGTACAGTACCAGGTAAAGACTTGTAGAAGATTTCCAAATCGCATGTTGATTAAGAATATGCGCATTGTGGAATCCTTCTCCCGTATTATTTGCTAAAACGGGAGTCCGCATTTCAGTACAATAGGTAATTAATTAATAATTATTGAGCTGAAGGCTTACCTTAACCAAGACCTGGGCTGGAAACAGGAATCCAATGTTGATTAACATTGCTAGCCCTCGATTTATGTAGTCCATCAAGGGATCATACTTGCTGGCGATAATGGGAAAACGTCTCAGGGAAAACTTCGGCACTTGGGTTTTGGACACAACTTTCAAAAATGACTCAGTGATGGCCATCTGTATTTTTATGAAGCCTTCGCGTACGTAGCCCACATAACCGCCACAGTATGGCATCTTGAGGCGTGACAGTATGGAACTCTTGGGATCATCGTGAAAGATCGTCATCCAGTTGGCCCCAATAAAGGTGTGGTTGAAAATGCGCAGCTCGCTGGGAAATATTATCGAATAGTTGAAGTGGGGCGTAATACGATGCCCCGCATGTAGCTTTATTCCGCTGAAATTGTACTTCTTATCAAATTTTCCAATATCAAAGCAGATGCCGGCAAAAAGTGAGTCCTCTTTTATGGCTTTCGCCATATTCTCGCAATCCCCGAATTGCCGCATCTGCATCGGCTTTAATTTCCCACTGGCGATCTCCATTGTTTTCAGAAAGATATCGTAATCATTGGGTGCCCAGGCCACGACAAGTTGTGGCACAAACGGGTTGAGACTCACGTTTAATGCGCTCGCCACTTTCTGGCGCTCCTCTATTGTGTCGATAAGTTCATCCCAACTGCGCTGAATGTCGATGAGGTCGAAAAATATGTCCGCTCGTTCACTGGAACCCACCGTCAGTCGCAGCAGTACTGCAAGGAACACAAGGATCACTGGCGAAAAGAGCAACCATAGGAATTCGAGTGGTCGGGACCATTGCGACTTGTGATTTCTCAAGGTGAGTATCAGAAATTTTTCCATACACCCTAGATGCGTCATTTCGGCTGCTCGGATCCCTTTATCAATTCGAAACAGAACTAATTTCGAGCTCAATTACAGTTTGTATTGCTGCCACTTAGCATGCTTTGAATAGTGAACTCGGTTACCTGATGTGGAAATAACTATTAGGTGTATCTGAAGATATGAAGACCCCTTTTTAAAAATCACATCCTTCATTAGGGGTTATCAAGCTATTTGCTACTAGCAATACCCGAATGGCAAAGAGTACTTACTTAGATTTAAGCTACATGGCTTTATATGCCGTGATCATTAAGTTAGTTATATGTACAGTTCAAGGAGTGTTACATCAGCGTTTGGTATAAGAAGGGAAAGGTGGGGTCGATTCCAATCTTGGAAGTTCATTTGCCTAACAAGTTTCATTTTTCAAAATAATGTTGATTGCAAACTAATGTTGCAATGATCGGGGAAATCATGGCTTTTAGGTACTTGGTGCTCATACGGATGGACAGAGGGACATCGGGAATTTGTCTCGTCCCAATTATCATAACATAGACTTACATAATATATACAAAAAAAAGATAGTGAATCAAATCATGTCAGCGTTTAAGAAAAAACATTTTAAGTTTTCAACTAATATTCTAAATATTTCTGCTCTTTAGAAATTTATTTCTAATTTCCAGGATCAGTTCAAATTTTAAACAAGAGAGAACGCTACAGTCGAGCAAGTCCGACAGTGTAATACCCTGTACCCAGGTAAACTTCCGTCACTGAGTTATATGCGCCCAAAAAGAGGAAGAAGAAATTGCAAAAAATAAAATAAACTCGTCCTTTCTCGGACCTAGGAGAATCTGGATGCCAACTTTGGTTATTCTAGCTCCTATAGTTTCTGAGATCCTTGCGTTCATCCAGACGGACGGACAGAAGGACATGCCTAGATCGATTTCTCTCGTCATGCTGATTCAGAATATATATACTTTAAGGGTCGGAGATGCTTCCTTCTGCATGTTACATACTTTGCACAAACCTAATATACCCTTTTTACCCTACGGGTACAGGGTATATATTTGAGTGTAGGGTATTTTTTTGAGTGTAGGCCTTAGGGCGAGTTAAATGTATTTTTACACTTGTAGTATTGTTAAAGGTATGTGACAATTTGTATAAAGAATGCTGTGCGTTTCTTCAAATAGTCCTCAAGTGATTCACTTCTAATTCCATTGGGTTATTTGTTTCCATAATATTGTTTTCTGTGTGCTTAAAGTTATTGGGCAGTCGACCAGAATATGATTTTCCAATTGGATTTGATGAGTTGACTTTGCAGTTGATAGACCAAAGCTTTGTTTTCATTTTCCACATGCCACATGTGTGTGTGCTCAGACTTTTGTGCGAATGGATATGAAGTAGTCGGTCAGTGGCTTTGGCGTATATTTGTACACACGAGTATGTATGTATGCATATATACTTGTATGTGTATGTATATATATTCGGTAACTTCTCGTTCTGTCATCAATTTCAATTTTCATTGTCAACTGTCGCCTGCGGCTTTTGTCCTTCCTACTACTACTGTTGGCTCTCTCTTTTTTGGGTTCGACTCGACTCTAACATTTTCAGTTATTACATCCGTTTTAAGTGCTTATTTTGTCTCTGCTCGTTTGGTCAGCTAGTTTTTCATTCTTTCATATGTACATACATATACTCGTAGTACTATACATATGTACATACGCCCATACATATGCTTATTTTTGGCAACGATCAAGCGTTTATTTATTCTTTGACATAACATTTTTATTGCATTCTAAAGTAAACAAATGCCAATAAAAGCCTTGCGCTTCTTTGCTTTGACCAACCCATTCAACCAGCTATATAAGTTCATATGTATACATATATACATACATATGTATGCATGTACTGTATAAGTATGTGGTGGTTAAGAACTATAGTCAAAAATGTACTGTAATAATAATTGTCCAGTAGTATATTACATTTCTATGGGGCTCGGGTTTATAGCTCTGAAGGAGGAACATTAAACAAAGCCTACGCTGTACAACTACCTTATAGCAGTTGCACGAATAGTTCAATAAAATATATGTATTACCCAAAAATTAAACAAAGAAGAAGACACAGAATTATGTCACCACTCACGACCGTGGAAACTTAACGAAACTGATGCGATTTAAGAAATATATATGAAAGTAACGACATATCATCATTTGTTTTTTAATGACATTTAATGGATGAATGGAAGATCACAAGTCAACCGGTAATTACTCACATTTTTTTAAATGCATTTTGTACGAGAAGGTACATACATATCTGTTGAATGCTCGTATTTGTCTTATGTTAGTGATCTGTCATGGCTGACTTCAATGTCAACTAAGGTAATTAATATTAATGGTGAACGGAGATTTACTAAGGAATAACACAACTTTGCGGCTCACTTCTATTTTTGATCCCTGTCTTAGAATGTAACTGTAGGGGTTCCACTCTATATGCTTTTGAGGATTGGCAGCCCACTTATCTTTTTTCCTTCTCGCTATTGATTTCAATTGTAGTGCATTTCCCCGTCGCTGTGACAGGAAGCTCAGCTGATTTTGGCCTTCTGCGACACATTCAATTGCATTTATTGACCAAAGAAATATTTTATTACTTTACGCTTGGCAAATATTAGTTGCCATCGATGTTTGCCTTTGTGCTTATTTGCTCACACTCCATGGCTTATTCGTACGTAACTATGTGCGCCCCACTTTGGACGCCAAAAAATGTTTCTCCGTATGTGTTTGTGCTCTCGTTTCAATTTCAGTGTGGACCGAAAAAAAAATCCGTTGTCATTGACGCAGCAGCGCATCTAAGTTGTTTGTCTCTATGTGTGATGCTGATGACGTTGATACCATGACTCGTCTGCCCGCCTGTGGATGTCTGCCTGACTGGCTGGCTAATATTTCCGCCATTTTGGTGCCGCTTTTGTCGCCCGCTTTGATTTCTTGGCATCATGGCTCTAACTTTACCATGTTCTCCTCTTTTTCTATTTTTTTTGTTTGATTTTTCCAGCGTTCTTTTCTCCCTTTTTTTTGTTTTTTTGTTCCACCAGCAACTTTTGCAAATATTTTGGTCATAGCTGAGATTTGCGTGCCTTCAACGGTTTTGTTTGTTTGCTGTCCACAAATGGCTGGCCAGTGGATTGTGTGTTTGTGTGTGTGCGTGCGAGCACTGAATGTGGGTAATTCGGTCATGAATATGCGAACAATTTTTGTACATTGTCCAAGCATTTTGGGTGCGCATATTTGTCGTAAATGGACTACATTACATTACTGCTACAGTTATCTTTTGATATATACTATTTGCTGGACTCCACAGCATCAGCATTACCGACAACAACAACCACAACGGCAGCTACAACAAGAACAATGGCAACCACAAAGGCAAATTCGAATGACTTTCAACAATAAAAAGTTGCATTAAACTTACACAACATAATGGCAAAAAACGGTACATTCAATAAAATAATAAAAGCCATAGCACAACAACACTAACAATGGCGGAAACAAATTATTATTAAAATTAAGCTCGGGGCACATGTTGAACTTGAAATTGTGTTTATGAAAACAACAAACAATGCTGAGAGCGCAACAAACAATCGAGTGCATTTCAGGGAGAGAGAGAGAGAGAGAGAGAGAGAGAGAGAGAAAGAGCGTGAGTATTGGCATAAGGACTATTCAACTAAGTTGAGCGCCCAACGTGGGGCCGCTGCACATCAGACAGACTAGAAAGTTGGGGGAATTGCAAATGCAATTTATTCAACCAACAACTCATTGAACCCAACTTCAAAAGCTTTGGAGTTAGGAGTTACACGCTCTCGAGCTCCTATAACGCTGTGAGGCCTATGCCGGAGGCCTCCAGCAGGATGCCAACTTCATTGAGATTGCACGTGCAAGCTCGTACACACGTGTATGTATGCATACAAACATACATACATACATATATGTAAATTCATGCACTCATATGTATGTTCATTTGCTTGCGAATTGCCTGAATGAAGCGCACCAAACCGGTTACAAGCTTACATACGTATAACTGTAGGGAATATGTTGTGTAACGGCATATTGATTATGAGCAGTGGCTTGCAAAGTTCACAACGAATCTAAAGCTCAACAGAAATGTATCAGAAATGTTTTATTTATTCTAAATACGTCCATCTCTGATTAATTACATATTTTATCTAAGTTTTACAGAACAACTGCATGCATTTTCAAAGATATTTTTGCTAGGAAAAGAATTATCTTACAACAGTAAAATACTTCATAGGTACATAAGTCTATATTTTTATATTTTTGAAGTCTCCATATGTACATACTACATATGTAAATACTATACATTGTTATTATTTTAGAGGACAGTGACATTGCAGAAGAATTAAGATAATGAATACAGTACAGTTTTGTGCTTAATATAATACTATAGTATACTAATATGTAGGGATTTACTTGCAATACGAGTATATTCACTTTTAAAAGATACATTCAAATGTATACCTCTGTGCATAATTTAAGGATTGATTTAAGAACCCGACGAAAGTAAATTTTAGAATATCCCACATTTTCAGATCCACCCCTTTAAGAGAGGCCTTCGTACAACTCTGATAAAGATTTCAGATATAGAGCCGCCTATATTATATGATGAATTCTTAAGAGTTAAGGCGCTAAGTACTAAAACCAGGGTATTAACATCTTATAGGGGTAGCAAATCAAATGGTTTGCGTACAAACCCTCCTTTCTTATAAATAGTGTCAGCCTTTTAAGCATAGGGGGGAAGAGCATTTGAAGTAAATCGGCTGCTATCTAATTCGAAATAACAAGGCAAAGAGCAGCGCAGCATCCCAATCTCATAGCCGGAACCCCAATTAGTTCTCTTCGATGCTAGAAAAGTACAAAAAAAAACAAACTTACGCCGAACAGCTGCTTGCTTGGCATTGAAAATGTCGTCGGCGCATATGAGTAAGAGGGAGAGGTGCAGAGAAAGAGCAAGAGCGAAAGAGCGAGACTTATTGCAGCAGCGCCATTGCGGCAAACAAATGACGCGGCATAGCTAACAACAGCAACAACTGCTTCGTGTGGCCGCACACGAACACAATCCCAACACACACGACGACAAATACCGAAGAACCGATGCTTCCGACTGGTTTTTGGCGCTGACTCTGATGTTGGGACCGCTGTCGCTTTGAGTGGCGCCTTCAGTGCGAAACGTACCATCGAAAGTGTCAGGTGTTGTCGAGCTTGCGTTCGTTTTTTGGCTCCATTGGCGCATAAATTGACGTACGTAGTATACGGACGTGGTTTCCAAATACGCTGTTTTCTGAAGTGACTGCGAAAAAGATAATCATATTGAAAACAATAACTAACAATTAAACTGCTAATGATTGGGGATTTTTTGTGCGCGCTATTTCGCGAAATTCACTGAATTTTTTTTTTACGTTTTATAATTTTTTTTAATTGTGTGCATTAAATCATCTCTCAGCTAAAGTGCTAAAAAATCGTCGCGGCATCTAAAAGTAGCTATTGCCGTTTCTGCTAATGTAATTGTTGTTGTTGTCGCGCTACATCATTGTTATAATATTTACATTTTGTGTGGCTAGTTTTTTTTTAGTTTCCGTTATTTTTTCATATTCTATTTTTCTCACGTGTGTGCGCAAGTGAGAAGTCTCCGCGCGATCGCATCGACATTGATGATCGGCCTTTCTGTATTTTTAATTTAAAATGCTTTACTTAATTTGGAATGCAAAAGGCACTGTGCGCCGTTGTTGTTGTTGTTGTTGCTGGTTTTGTTATTTGTGGTTGATTATTAGATCGGCAATTTGCTTCCAATTTCATTGATTGATTTCAATTTCTGCTTTGTGACAAAGAACTTTCAATGACAAACTAAACTGGACACGTGTAAAATGTTCTCAAGAGATTGTTCTCTCATTCCTATTTTATGAGTTCGTTCCGAATGTTTTGAATAACCAATTTCGCATTGATGACGCAGACAACCGATTTGTTCTCTTTCAAAGCAAATTAAAAGTTTTGTATCTTTTGCAATTATGCGTTGTTTTTTATTTTAAAGAATTGAAAGAATTGAATTGAATTTAAAGAATATATATGTATATATATACATATATATGTATATATATATATATATATGTATATATATATATATATATATGTACATATATAAATACAGGTAGCAGCTTGTGTATTTTCCTAGAATTTAGAAAGGCGGCCGCCACAACAGTGTTATATTTTTTACCGACTCTCATTTTTAATGCCCTGTTTACAGTTCGTGAGGCATTGCGTCCGGACGTTGATGAGTTCTGTGACGAAATGTTCCTCATCAGTCAACATTTCTAGGAACAGCGGCTGTTCTATTTAACATACATATGTACATTTTAGCAGTGCAAAATTCGCTTAGGGGAATACTTAAATATTTTTTACACCGATCGCATCTTTTAGAAAAAGTGACCGTCGAAGAGTGTCCGGATAAAAGAGGTGCCCGTTAAGGGAGTGAAACTGTACATACAAAAACAGTGTTAAAACGCACCGTTATACTGTATATACAAATATGTAAATACATACATACACACATACATATAACAACGCATTACAATTAGCTCTATTTGACCATTTTCATAACATATTTGAAATATTCTGAATAGGACTTTTGCCCAGAAAGCCTATTTGCTCTAGATTGTGCTTAAATCATTCATTCAGTGTCTGTTTCATCAGAAATCAAACTGCGATTTATTGGCTCTATCGCTTTCACACACACACACACACGAACAACAGTGTGCTTGTGCTTTATAGGTTTGACCATCACTGATAAGGAACGTGAATTTCAATGCGATCTCTATGCGTGTATGTATGTATGTACATATGTATGTATGTGCATATAGTAGGTACGTGCTGGTCGGCTCTATACTGGAGCTACAGCTGATATTTGTATGTATTTTAGTTAACATTTTATTGGCAAAACATGCTCAGCATTGAAACCTTCCTTCCATTCGTCAATTTATAAAGTTTTGCGGCTTTGCCAAGCAATTCGTTAAAACAAATTATTATTTTTTGCTCATTTGTGTAGCTATCGACCCACAGCAATAACAACAACAAAAACAGAAAAGGGAAGCCACTTAGACAGGCGGCTCATAGCTAATAAGTTCTTTTCTTACGCCTTGCTCAGCGCAAAAAAAAAGCAAAAAGCACCAACAACAATAACAAAATTCTGGCGAACCATAAACATTAAATAACAATAATAAGCAACAACAACAGCAAAAAGTTGAAGCCGTTTTCTAAGTGGCGATGCTTTGTCAAAGCACATAAGAAATAATACAATAGAGACTACATACATATACATAGATGGAACAACAACAACAACAACAACAGCAGCAACAACAACAATAATAGCGCCTGGCTTCCAGACACGCAACAGTCAAAAGCCCCCAACCCCACGCCCCCTACCCGCCATTATAAAGCGGTCCTTGCGTGCTTCGCGTGTGTGAACCCCGCCCTGCAGCCAACCCGGTCACCGGCTCCGGTTCTTGGTGCACCGCTCCCCCCAATTCAAGCGCGCTTGTACCGCTCAGCAGGACTCTCGCGACTTCAAACAGCGCGCAAGGCGGCTGGACTTTGGTTACACATACAAACATACAACTTTACATACATACTGTGTGTATGTGTATGTGTACGTGTACATATATCATATACTGTGTATATTTCTATAACGAAATTTGTTTTCTTGTTTTTGTTTTTTGTTTTGTGCGCCACTTCTTCACATCATTCTCGTGCTGTTTACTTGTTACCGGAGAGTAGGTCAGGTCAGTATGTTCTACTATTTTTCTATATAATGCACACACACACACTTACACAACACAACACACACTCACCCACTCACTCACTCACTCACTCACTCACTCATTCACTCGCTCATTCACATGTCATGTGTGTGTATTATTATTATTATTATTACAACTCTTGCCTTGTTTTGCATATTAGACTAAAGTTTTCAATTTGTTGCAGTGCCCACTTAGACAATGTTTTAATTTATTGCTATTGTTGATTTTTTACTATACATACAAGTTACATGTTGACATTGTAGTGGTTGTGGGAGGGGGGCGGGGAGAGTTATGAATAATGCAGGTCTGTTCTTCTTTCAAGTACCAGTTTCAAGTTTTGTCGGAACTCCAATTTCCTCTAACATGGAACTGAATGTGATATTCGGAGTGTACCTTTCCTAAATAAGACATATGTATGTTCATCCTTATGTGTTTGATAGCTTCGCCCAGACGTAATATGATCTTTTATTAGATTTTTTACAAATAGTTTCTGCCAGCTGAGAACTTAATACCTGTCTAGGTGTATGTACAAGAGTAGCGTTCTATATTTTGTGGCCTTTATTGATCATCTCGGCTATACTAAGGTGCATTTTTGAAATGATTTCTACCACCTGAGAATTTAATATGATACAATGATACTAGAAAATTACAAATTATACACGAAATATAAGAATATTCTACTTTTCAAATGTAGTCCTTAATACATAATATACAATATATTTCTATTCTGCTGCTGCTTGGTCACCTTTTCTTAGTTCGCCCCTAAATGTTAATGGCCGTGACTAGACTTTGTATATAAGCTCTTTTTTAAAAACAGTTTCAAACATGAGATTAAACTCGAATTCAATATCGAAATAAATTATGAAACTTGGCAGTCAAGCTTGAAATCATGCTGGGATCGTAAATAGTATCTTCATTGTTTGTTAGATCCATTTTTCTTTAAATGGCATCGGATGGGCTTATGAATGTACATAGATCTTCACAAAGTGCGAAACTCGAAAACATATTTGTACTAGAAGCGTGTCCTTTAAAATAAGATTCATATAATTTATTATGTCTAAATCGCTGCTGTATTTTGATAACCTCGGTCATGCGTATTATGATCTCTCTGTTGTGTTTTGAAATAAATTCAAAAACTCAGTAACGTAATAATCAGTCTCTGCCAACGACATTGAAATTCCACCTAATGTTAGACAGGTTTCTCAAGATTGGTAACGATCTGGAAACAATTGTATTTGTCATAAGATAAGTTGAATTGCTAATTAATTGTTCATGGCAGTGGATGAAATCCCCTGTATAATTTTGCTGAAGTTTGCGCATTACCCAACCATACATTGACATCATTAGCCATATTAGGTCTTTCCCTCTTAACATGTGTAAGTACGTGTCATACCCCCTCTCACCGCGACTCTTTGGCCACAAATTGTGTGCGTCTAGCTCGAAAAGTTAATTTCATTTATGGGTTGGCGCGCCCCCGACATGGCAAACATGCAATAAAAACTCGGCTACAAATTGCTGGCAATGAAAGCAACATGAAACGAACTGGAAGTTGAAGACCAAGTCGAAGTCGCAGTCGAAGTCGCAGTCGCAGTCGAATGCCAAAGCTAATGCCAAAGCCAATGAGGTTGCCAACGCCAGAGCCAATGAGAAGTGAAATGAAATGAAAGTTCTCTCTCAAACAATTAACTGCGATTGAAAGTTATGCGCAACAAGATAATTGTGGCTCAATTTATTGCGGCGGGCATTTGGGGCAGAGATATGTTTGTTTCAACCGCCACCTACATGCATACGTATTGTACAGATTTATGTATATATATATATATGTATATGACTACTATATGTGTCTATGGTGGTGAAATTGCTGGCTTGGTGTCAATTCAGTTAGCAGCTCGAGATTGAGTCACAAAAGCGAACATCAACGACATTGTTTTAATAATGCAGGCGGCAAAAATGCAACAAAATACTCCCACAGCCATACCTATATTTATAGTGCCAGATAGGGATTGGGTGGCTGTGGAGATAGTGAGAGAGGTAAACGATGGTAGATAGCCAAGCAAATGAACAAAGCGCAACCAGCAACAAAGAAACAACAAAGGACACTTTTGGTCGACTGCGACTGTCAAACCAAATGCGCAGAAACAAAGCAAGGACAGACTGGACAGGACACGGCGGAGCTGCCGAGCAGGACGGAAGGGAATGGAGAATACAGCGGCGGCTAGGGGGTTGGGCTGTGGGAAGGGCAGCTGGTCGAAAATTGCTAACCATGTTGCATGTTTGCAGCGTTGCCAAAATCATGCTTGAAGAAAAAATGACCAACCTCAGGTGCCAGTTTGGCCGACTCTAAAATAACCTGTAATCCATGTAAGGTACGAGCTGGTCGAAGGACATACAATCCAAGCATGTGTTCGATAAATGGAATTAGAAGGAATTAAAAATATACTAGAATATAATGCGATTCGCATTATACAAGTAATTAAAGCATTTTGAAACAATTTAGTATAAGATATAGCTTTAAAAAGCGCAACATTTTTGAGCATTTAATGTGCTTCATTTATCTAGACAGTACCCACAATAAGTTTGATGCTGGTTATCCCAGTTCTCATGCTTACCTCATGTTGAGGCGTTCATACGGACAGACCTAAACCATTCTACCCTTTGGGTGCAGGGCATTTACATACATACATAGACCGGCAAATGTCTCTTAAGTTGCTGTGGCGCATTTGTGTTGCGGTTGGCCAACAAAACAACAACAATAAATTCAACGGCGCCGAGAAGAAAAAACAATGTGTAACTTGCTGCCTGCAATATTTTCAAGGTCCCAAAGCGTAAGCACAAAATGCGCCAGGGCTAAATCAGACTTTTTAGTAGTAGAGACACACTCATACATACACTCACATACATATCCATATACATATATAGTACATATATACCCGTACATGTATGAACAGAAAAAGTGAATCAGTGAGTGGCCTAGAGGGGGCTAAGAAAATCTTTTGTGGTTTATTCGCAAGCTAAGCGACAAACATCTGGATTTGTTCGTCGACCTTTCTCGTTTCTACTATACAGTAGGTTGTGTAAGCACGCTCCGTCTTTCTTTTTGGAGAATTAATCTTGTGCTGCAAGAAAGGAGCAAACAAATGAAGCTAGTATGTCCCGAGAACTAAATCAAAGCAAAAGTCAGGCAAATTAAATAATAGAAACAATTGCTAACACGCCACTTGAGCGCTCGTTCACAAAAAGCAAAAGCAAAAGCTCTTTGTATTTTTGCATCGTTACACCCGATCCTCCCAAATCCCCCAGCCCCTTCTCAACACGCCCCAAGTTGCCGTGTCACGGCACGAATGCCATGTGACTCAAAGCAAATTGGATTAGATTCGTTAAGCGCATCAGCGGCTGCTGAACGAAGTTGTTGCAGTTAGCAGCGAGTGCTCTTACACTTTTATTCCCAAATCCAAATACAGTGGGACCTTAATTTGTTATCAACTTTAAAATTCTTATTTACTTTATTGAATCTGCACCAGTTAACTAGAGTTTGCATCGCTGTCCGAGTTTAGGACAATCATTAGAAAAAATTCAATAATCTGATTCCTTTCCATTAATATATTTATTTTAAAAAAAAAAATCCTACTTAGATATTGTCTGGCTCTGAAATATCTGAACAATGTAGCTTTTTAAAAACTTTATCAGAATATTTGGGTTCTCTATTGTGGGCCTTTTCGAATTTACACCTTTTGATTGCTCGGAAGTAGAGCCAAATTCTGTACCATTTGGTCTTTAGATGTAATAGCAAACATTCCTTTTTGCTGATATATCCCTTGACCACTCACACATGTTTTCCGTCAATAGAGGTTCAACCTATCGAGGATCAACTGTAGTTAGTACATACTCGTCGATGGAAGTTGAAAGATTCTTGTGGACGGACACTAGCATTCGGTGGAATAGGTGTCTTAATAATTAACAAAAATAATTTAGAGAAATCCGAAACGTTTGTGTCCTTCATTGAGCCAGATTATTATAACTGTTTCTGTTTCTACTCGTACTCGTATATCTTTACTGCAGTTTGTCATCAAATTATATGCATTATATGCATATTGAATGTACATGAAGAGTCAAATATCCATCATTAGTAACTTAGTAAATATATACTCTACCCCTTTTATATCACGACCCTTGCACGATTTTTCAATTTAACATTGGAAAATTGTAAAAAAAAATGAAAATTTTTCCTTTTTTTTTAAGATGGTAAAGAAATTTCATTCCCTTTAATAAGAAATAAAACATTTTGAAGTCAGTTCTGTTGTTGCTAAATTGCAATACTAAAATGCCGAGTGAGTTTATTGAAAGTTATAGTATTTGTATACGAGTAATCAATTCTTTTGTAGGTTGTGTATGGTTTGTATTTCACACCTTCAAGTGGCGGATCGGTCTACTATAGATGCGGTGATGTAGGCTTTTAGGCCGAATGGGGTATGAATGTATCTTATTCATGGTCCTCAAGCGATTTCCCAAACCTTGCGGCAATTGAGAAAGTTTTCTCGACGTGCTAATTTTCTTCAGCACTTCCAACTGCATTTTCTTCGCTACGATTCACATTCATTTATTGTTTAATTAAACAAAGTCCACAGGTTTGTGTGTAGTATCTCTAGCACAAAAGCCTTATCTATACAATTGAGCGACTGTATTCATACAAACATATGCACATCCCATACATACATATAGTATGTATATAAGTACTTATGTACTTATATACAAGACTCACTCTACACACTTATATATATTTGTACACTCACCTAGTGTGTACTCTACAGCATCTCGCATCCGCTCCGCTTGTCTCCCTCCTCCCTCCAACCCGTCGTGCGCTCCCAGACTTGACCCTGACCATCTAAGGTTATCAACGACCCCAGGCCTAATCTTGTTTGGCATTCGGGAGAACGTAAAATGCGGCAGCACATTGAAAATTTCGAAGAATTTATTGTGTTGTT